TGGGGGTGAAAGAATCCCCAGTCCACTCTTCGGTTTCATAAACATACCACCTTGTTCTGCTGAAGAATTTGGACATGGGTTTTCTTAGGTCCGTCTCCCAAGGCAATAAAAATAAAAACAAAAATAAACACATGAGACCGAATTAAACTTACAAGCTTTTGCACAGCAAAGGAAACCATAAAAGAAAACAAAAAGACTGCCTACAGAATGACCGACAGGGCTTAATTTCCAAAACATACAAACAGCTCATAATACTCAACAGCAAACAAACAACCCAATCGAAAAATGGGCAGAAGACCTAAACAGACATTTCTCCAAAGAAGAAATACAAATGGCCAATAGGTACATGAAAAGATGCTCAACGTCCATGATTAACAGAGAAATGCGGGACTTCCCTGGTGGCACAGGGCTTAAGACTCTGAGCTCCCAATGCAGCGGGCCTAGGTTCGATCCCTGGTCAGGGAACTAGATCCCACGATCATGCTGCAACTAAGACCTGGTGCAAATAAATAAATAAAATAAAAATTTTTTAAAAAGAGAAATGCAAATCAAATCTACAATGAGGTATCACACTGGTCAGAATGGCCATCATTAAAAAGTCTACAAATAACAAATGCTGGAGAGGGTGTGGAGAAAAGGGAACCCTCCTACACTGTTGGTGGGAATGTAAATTGGTGCAGCTACTATGGAGAACGGTATGGAGGTTCCTCAGAAAATATACTACCATATGATCCAGCAATCCCACTCCTGGGCATATACCCAGACAAAACTCTAATTCAGAAAGATACATGCATGGCTATGTTCATAGCAGCACTATTCACAATAGCTAAGACACAGAAACAATGTAAATGTCCATCAGCAGATGAATGGATAAAGAAGATGTGGTACGTATATACACAATGGAATACCACTCAGCCATAAGAATGAAATAATGCCATTTGCAAAAACATGGATGCAACTAGAGGTTATCATATTAAGTGAAGTAAGTTAGAAAGAAAGACAATGTTATATGACATCACTTATATGTGGAATCTAAAATATGACACGAATGAACTTATCTATGAAACAGAAACAGACTCACAGACATAGAGAACACAATGGTGGCTGCCAAAGGGGAGGGGGCTGGGGGAGGGATGGAGTGGGATGTTGGGATTAGCAGATGCAAACTATTATATATAGGATGGATGAACAACAAGGTCTTACTGTATAGCACGGGGAACTATATTCAGTATTCTATGATAAACCAATTAATGGAAAAGAATTAAAAAAAAAAAAAAGAATGTATACAGAGAATTCCCTGGCGGTCCAGCGGTTAGGACTCTGTGCTTTCATTGCTGAGGGCCCGGGTTCAATCCCTGGTTGGGGAACTAAGATCCCATAAGCCGTGTGGGGAAAAAAAAAAAAAAAGTATATATATATATATATATATATATATATATATATGTGTGTATATGTATAACTTAATCACTTTGATGTACAACAAAAATTAACACAACACTGTAAATCAACTCTACTTCAATTTAAAAAATTACACACACAAAAAAAGAGTTTGGATGTGGTTTTAAAATATGCCAAAAAGAAAGCCATCAATTGATCTCTCCAGTTAATAAAAAAAAACGTTCAAGAGTTGGCAGAGTCAAACTCCTGGTGATGTTGCCATTAGAACTGCGACAGATTCTTCCTAAGATCCTCCTGTCTAATCCTCAGCAGAAGAAGCAGCCCTTTGCTGCTCAGAGATTAACTTGCCTTAGATGATACTTTGATATCATGCCTTAGATTGCCTATTTTCACGCTGGAATTCTGTTCATTATTTACATTTTAAAAAATTGTGGCATGAGTCCTATGTCAGTTTCCCTAGTCCCTTACATAACATTCCTTAGCTCAGGGTTTAAAATGGTTACTCAATGAACTCTGAGCCCATTTAAACATCACCACATGGTTCCAGAAACAGGTTTCCTCCATTTTTTGAAAGTCTGCTTTACACCACTGTGCTTTTACTAAAGACCTGCTTTAGTCCCTGTGTTTGCTAATGGAAAGAAATCCAAAGAGGATTTTCACTTTTAGGAGAGAAGGAGGTGAAGAGTGAAAATAGCATACAGCGTTTGTAATTGCTACTTGGCTTTACTCCATTTCGGCTTAGGGACGGGTTCCTGGGAATTCTCTCCTCTGGGACAGCGGGAGAATCCTGCACTGACCTTAGACCGTGGGCCTACTGTGCACAGGCAACGCTTGGGTATGAAGTTGGCTTAGACACCGGTATGTGCTGGAAGCTACAGCTTTTCCCGGTAAAGTAAAAGGCCTGCTCACCAGCAACCTCCCCTTTACCAGCAAGATCACCGTGGTATCTCCATGTGGACTTCATGTTTTTGGCCAAAAGAAGGCAAGGAAGAAGGCGAAGGAAAGTTTGATGGTCATGCCACCTTCCTTCCTTCACCAAGAATCTCTTCAAATAACTCTCAAATTACTGTGGCTATTGAGAAAGCCACAAACGTGGACAGTGCAAGACACGGAGGCTGGGGTACTTGAGACTGTACCATTCCTTTGTTCAATAAATATTTACAGAGTGCCTACAACCGACCAGATTCTTTGCTTGGTACTGACACTACGTTGAACACGAAAGACAGACACAAACAAATGGGTAAGGGACAGAGTGGCTGAGCCTGGTATTTCAGGCATGGTGGTCAGTGAAGGCTTCTTTAGGGAGGTTACATTTAAGCAGAGATGGAATTAACTTAGCTGAGCACTCCAGGCCGAGGAAAGAGCAGAGTGCAAAAGGCCCGAAGTGGAGGTGTGCTTCTCGTTCTGTGAACAGCAAGAGAAGCACTCCACTAAGTGGGAGAATCATACAAACGGAGCCTGGAAAGGAGGCTGCAGGCCAGGACACGTACGGCTAGTTGAGTGTTTTGGATTTTGTTCTATATGTCACAGGAAGCCACTGGAAAGCTTTGAGTAGGGAAGTAAGAGGGTCGAGGGTCTTGTGAAAGGATCACTGACAGCTGGGCGGAGAATGGCTGCAGCAAAGCGTATCAGTCAGGATCCAGCCGTGAAAAGAGAACCCACTCCAGTTACTACAGGTGGAGGGGATCTGAAGAGTAAGCGGGGTCAGAGGGACGCATGGGGTGATACCACTGATGAGAAGCTGCTGAAAATTCCCCTGGCTGGAAGGAACCCAGGGGAGCTGCACCAGCACTAGTGCCACCTGGAGATGCTGTCACTGTCATCCTGTATCTCCTAGAGAGCGGCCACCTTGACCAAGGAAGGAATCATCCCAGCTCCTCTTCCACTACAGAAACACCCAGCAACTGCCACAACTCACTGGAAGCCGGCTGGCAGGAGAACCGGGAAAAGAGTTCACACACTCTGGGCGTCTGTGGGACAGAATATAAAAGGGCAGGTGGAGGACTGAGAAATGACAGATAAATAACCTTCACCGAGTCCACAGTAGAAGCAGGAAACCCAGTAGGATGCTACATAAAGTGCTGGTAAAAATGATTATGGCTTGAACTAGGGCAAAAGTGGTTGAATTCAACCACTGGTATTTTTTTTCTTCAACCACTGGTATTTTTTTTTATTAATAATATGCATTTTATTCTATAAAGAAATAAACTATGTTCCAATGTGAGTTACTCTGATACGATAATTTTCATAGATTTTTTTCCACGTACATAACAAATATAATAGAGAAAACTCAAACAACCTCAGCAACTAAGATATATTTCTCTTTCTATGGCCAGTGTTGTAAAAACCGTCTCCAAAACTTTCTGAGAGTTTGTAACCATCCTGTTAAAATGACATACTATTATTTCTTTTAATTGACAAATACATCCATGACAGTCGTCCTTCAACTGGAAAACCACTGGTATTTTTACTATGTTTTGAAACTAGGGCCAAAGAGAAGAGTCAGGATGATCCTAAGGCCTGGGCAAATGGGATGAAGGGTGGTACCACTTACTGAGACTGCGGATACTGGTGGAGGCGTGCATTGTGTTTGTCTCGTGGATGAAGAGAAACCAACAGTTCTATGTACAGCTACCTTTAAGATGCCTATTATGAATCCCAGTACGAGTGGGATAGAGCTGAACATACTGGTTGGAGTTCAGAGGAAAGGGTGGGACCAGATGGGATTTAAAATCTTCTCTGACCACCATGCACGGGATTAGATGAGGCTGTGACTGTGGAAAGAGAAGAGGTCCAAGGACTGAGCCCTCAGGCACCTGAACACGTCAGGAGGCCTGGAAGGGGAGAAAGGTCCAGCAAGGAAAAACCCAGAGGACTTGGTCAGGGAGGGAAAAGGAAAACCGGAAGAATACAGGGTGATGGCGAACAAGCAAACAGGCCGGCTCCAGAAGATGGCAATGACTGCTGGGTGTGGAGGCCAAGTGATCAATAAACAACTTATCATAAGACTAAAAGAGGGGTTTTTTTCCGGCCAAACAGGACTATAGCGCAGGGGTGCAGTCTCCACCAAGGAGGAAAGCGCTCTGGCGAAGCATGGTTTTCAACACAGTTTTTTATATCTTGTCAGGACAAAGAACACACATCAAACAGGACGACAGGATACATTCCTTCAAGGTTTCAAAAGAGACGGCGAGCCAGCACGACCCCGGCGTCTGGGAGGGAAGCTCACCCTCGAGGGAGCGCCAGCATCGGCGTCCCAGGAAAGGGACAGACATCCCCACCTTCAAAGTGGAGTCCTTCACGTCTGGATAACGCATTCTTTCCCCGAGTGGTGAAAGCAGATGCACGAGACAAGCAACCACGTGACAAGCTGATAAAGCCCAAGTCAAATCAGGTACAAGCCAGAAGGACTTCCGGCAATCTCCGCAGGTGCACAGGAGAGCGAGGGGAGAACCCAGCTGCCGCGGGCATTGTCACGTGGGTGCAGGAGGGGGGGTCCGAGCTAGCTGCCCCTCTAGGGAGGGAGGGGGCAGGGACCTGGGGGGGGGGGGGGCCCGGGGGGGGGGGGGGAAAGGGGAAAGGGGGGGGGGGGGGGGGGGGCTGCTGAGGGGCACTCACCTGGGCGCCGAGTCCCCGCGGCTCCGAGCTGGAAGGGAGCGGGCCGGGCGGGCCGAGGGGCGCCGCGGCGTAAGGGCGACGCCTCCTGAGCCGCTGGGCGCGGGGCCCGGTCGGCGAGGTCGCGACCGCGGGGCCCGGCCCGAGCCCGCTCCGGCCCGGCCGTCCTCACCCCCTCGCCTGCCGACTCCTGGGGGCGGGGCCCACGCGGCGTCCGGCCTGCGCAGGTCACGTGGGACACGCCGGCCAATCGGCGCGCGGCTCGGGGTCGACCCGGGCTCGCAGGGCGGTGGCGGAGCAGTTAGCTGCAACGGAGCTAGAGCGCCGGCGGGACGGAGGTGCGGCCGGGGTCGCTGGGCCCGGGGATGGGGGGCGGGGATGGAGAGGCACCGCCCGGCGGCCCCGCGTCCGGCCCGCTCACCCCGCACGGCGCCCGATCTCCCCTGTCCCCGCAGGACTGGCCATGGAGCGCGAGGTGCAGCGGGTTCGCGCGGCGTTCGGGTCCGGCCGCTCGCGCCCCCTGACGTTCCGGCGGCGGCAGCTCGAGGCCCTGCGCGCGATGGTGCAGGAGCGCGAGAGGGACATCCTGGCGGCCATCGCCGCCGACCTGAGCAAGGTGCGCCCCCGGGACCTGCGCTCCACGACCTGCCCATTTTCCGCGGGCAGCTGTGGTCCTTTCCCTTCCCCTTCCCCTGGATTTGGGTCATTCGTCCGCTTCGTGTATTGCAGGCCTCTTCCTCCGAGTCGGGTTCTTGTCTTTTAACTTTGCGGTTTCTTATGCAGACACAGGGTTTTGCTTGTCGTCGTTGCGCTCAGATTTCCCTCGATGATGTTAGGTGTCACATCTGTGCACCCGCGAGTCACCCGGAGACCTTGTTACGATGCAGACGATGCTTCACTGGGTCTGGGGGGAGGGGGTCTGAGAGCCCGAGTTTTTGTAAGAAGCTCCCAGGTGATGTACCAATGGAACCACGCTTTGAGTAGCAAGGTCTTGGGGGAGTGTTTCGGGTTTAAAAATGGTCCCCTATGTTTTATAACACTGTTGTTACCATTTTGTTTTTAATTTTTCTCTTCATTTTAGGGGTAACAAGGCCTTGCTCTGGCTTTGCTAGGCTCCTTCGGCCCCTCCCCCTGGAAGATTATTTTGAGGGGTAGTAACATCAGTAGTAACAACAGGAACTCTAAAACTTCCTGTATAGCACTTTTGGTGGAGAGGAACTGTGATGTCAAATAGTCAAGGTGGATTTAAGTAAGATAACCAAAAAAGTCTGACTCATTCACTCTACAAGCATTTCTGAGGGTGTATATATAGGATTACTAAAGAAGTACAATAAATTCCTTGCCCTTGAGGGCTTTAAGTTTGGTTGGGAAACAACAGGCACAGATAAAGTGGGGCTATAGTTTTAAGCCAGAGTATTAAGGCTGAAATGTTAAGATATAGAGGAAAGCATAATGACTATGGTTTATAAAGTGTGATCAAGGCACACCATTATTAATTAGGGAAGTTTTTGTGAAAGAGTTAACGTTTAAGCCTGACTTTAAATGGCTTGGATCAGTAAAGAAGGATTTAAAGGGATTGAATATATTAAGAAGGGAATTAGCAAGTCCTTACTGTGGGCTTGGAGGACACACAGGAATCTGCATGGCAGACCAGCTAGTCTGACAGGTTTGCCTGTCCTGATGCTTTTTTTTTTTTTTTTTTTTGCATTGCCGTAAGGCTTAGTTCCCCGACCAGGGATCAAACCTGTGTCCCCTGCAGTGGTAGCACAGAACCCTAACTACTGGACCATCAGGGAATTCCCTGGCCCGATGCTTCTGACATTCAGGGCCAAGTATGTCATACCCACAAAGGTTAACTGTGACCTTCTTGTAACAGAGTGAATTCAACGCATACAGTCAAGAAGTCATCACCGTGCTTGGGGAAATTGATCTCGTGCTGGAGAAGCTTCCTGAATGGGCCGCTGCTAAACCAGCTCAGAAGAACCTGGTCACCATGCTGGACGAGGCCTACGTCCAGCCAGAGCCCCTGGGAGTCGTGCTGATTATCGGAGCTTGGAACTACCCCTTTGTCCTCACCATCCAGCCTCTGATAGGAGCCATCGCTGCAGGTCTGGTGTCAGCTTCCGTCCTTACGCTGTCTTCGAGAGGCGTATTCTCTGAAACTGGTTGTACATTAAGGATAGTGGTTAGTTAAATGCATTTGCTGTGGTGGCTCGCCTTGGTTTACACCAGCAGTGTATTGAGAATTCATAAACGTTATTATTACTTGTTCAGTGGGCTCCAGAGATTTGTGGGGTGACTGCTTTTTGGGGCCCTGGAGAATGGACCTGCGAGGGTGTAGAGGCACGCGCGAGTCCACGGGCCCAGGTTTGGAGTCACACGTCCATAGCGTCATGCGGTTTCAGTTGCCACCTCTGGCTTTGGATGAACCAGTTGATTCTGTCTGACCCCTTTCTTCATTCAAATAAGGGCTCTGGGAGGAATGCTTGCTTGCAAATGCCAAGGGATTCATTTCTCAGTTAACCACGATCCAGACCAACAGCTCTATGTTGGCAAAGCTTGTCTGTGCGATAATCCCAGGGCAAAAGGAAAATCCAAGGGGGGGAGTGAGGACAGCGAGAGAAGGCCAGAGGCCTGGGGGAGCCTGGCTGGGGCCTCCCGTCAAGGACCTACGTGGTGAGCACTGAGGAGTTAGCCTTTGGGAAAGAGGCAGTGGGGCGAGCGCTCACACCTGTGGTGAGGAAGACAGAACGCAGAGCCAGAAATAACCAGAGGAATTAACCCTTAGCCTGTGCTCCCCACAGGAGCTCTGTCTCGTGGATGTTAGAATCGCTCAAGTACTAGACAACGTCCTGCTTTTTGCTTTGTTTAGGAAATGCTGTGATTATCAAGCCTTCTGAAGTAAGTGAAAATACAGCCAAGGCCTTGGCTACGCTCCTCCCTCAGTACTTAGACCAGGTAAGAGGACCTTGCCCCCTCTCTGCCACGTCTGTCTGTCTGTTTGGCACATCTGTGTGTCGTGGGGAACACACTCTGCTCTTCATGCTGGCTTGCGTCATTGGCGGTCAGGCCTCCACACTCATTTTCCCTCAGCCTCCCACGGCTGGCTTAACAAGAGAAGTTAAGTTCCAAAAAAACTGTGGAATAGTTCAGCTGTTGTAGTTACACAGTTTGGCCAGGCCCGTGGCTTTATCGGCACCCCTGCTATTAACAAAGCCTCCACTGCCATTTGGCATTTCGAATTAACCTTTGATCTGACATGATTTTAGGTGTATCCTTTTAGTGAGTTATTTAATGAGGGACTGGTACCGTGCTGGGCGCTCTTCATGAGGTACAGTTACGTGAGCACACGTCTACATTTAAACGGGCATGTTTGTGGCCCGAAAACTACAGAAAGAGAAAGGCCTCCTGACCCAGAGTGTGGACCCTCACTCAGAGTTACAGTGCTGGCATTTAAGAGTATCGGAAGCTGGGACTTCCCTGGCGGTCCAGTGGTTAAGACTTCGCCTTCCAATGCAGGGGGTGCGGGTCCGATCCCTGGTCGGGGAGCTGGGATCCCGCGTGCCTTGCGGTCAAAAAACCAAAACAAAACACAGAAGCAGTATTATAACAAATTCAATACAGACTTTGTAAATGGCCCATATCAAAAAAAATGTATCTTTAAAAACAAGAGTGTCGGAAGCGGTGGAGAAAAGACGATCTCTGAAGCAGCGGTCTGATGCCCCCCGTGGAGGGGATTGTGACGCCACGTGAACTGCGGCCGTTGGCTCTGCGTGGGGGAGTCCTCGGTGCGTGCCAGGGAGACGCAGCTGTGCAGCATCGCACCTGTAGTCGGCCACGTCTTCTGACAGCGGCCTACAAGCCAACTCCGGTTCTCGGAGGAGCCGTGCTCCCTGTGTTGGCTCATCCCTGCCACGGCGGCCACGGAGCAGTGTTGTCCCGGGGCCTGGGGTGCCCAGGGCAGTGAAGGCGGTGAGGTAGGGTAGGTGCTTCACCGTCTGTCCCCGCCCGGGTGGGCGTCGCCATCGCGGCCCTGCCTCCCTCGGCTTGTCGGGGGACCAACCACACAGGCTCTGTGGATTCAGGCGGAGGCAAGCTAAATTTAGCTTGAAACACCTGTCGGGCCGCTGAGCTGTGAGTAGAGATGGAGGGGAAACACGGGGCCCACCAGCCGGCTGGTGCTCAGTGTCCCGCCGCCGCTCTTCACACCGTGACCATCCTCTCTCGTGCGACAGCTGCAGACGGTCGCACGGTGCACGTGAGGGTTCAGTGCAAAGCGCTGTGACGTCCCCCCATCACAAGAGGAGGCTGAGGCTTGGAGGCGTCGGGTGGCCGCCAGCAGGCACGTGAGCCAGAGGATGACAGGGCGCAGGTGCAGCCCGGACCTGCCCCTGGAAGCGCTCCCCTGCCGGCCTTTACACACATTCGGGGAGCAGTTACTCGGTTCCCCCCGTGCTCTGAGCCCCACGCCGAGCCGCGTGCAGAGAGGACGTCCAGGTGGACGCGCCTGGGGCCTGTCCTGTGGTCACCGACAGCGGCCACGTTCCCACAACCCTCCCCTCTCCCAGCCCCCGTCTTGTGGTTTCCCGGGGCCTGTCTCCACCTTTTCCTGGTTTCACTGAATGTTACGTGTTTACGTCAGACGATAGGATTCCTTCGGTGATGCGAGTGTTTGTCTTTCTTTAAGGACCTGTACGCGGTTGTTAACGGTGGCGTCGAGGAAACCACGGAGCTTCTGAAGCAGCGATTTGACCACATTCTCTATACGGGAAACACCACTGTTGGAAAAATTGTCATGGAAGCCGCCGCCAAGCATCTGACCCCGGTGACCCTTGAACTGGGAGGGAAGAGTCCGTGTTACGTTGACAAAGACTGTGACTTGGACGTTGCCTGCAGGTGAGACCAGTTGTCTGGACTCCCCCGGCAGGCTGGCATGCCCTGTACCTCCTCGCTGGGCATTGCCGTTGATGTCCTCACAGGGACCAGAACTCTCGCAAACCACACCTTGGTGCCACAGCCGGAGGAGACGAACACGAGGTTGTGAAATCACACAGTTGCCCTCAGGATGAGGAAAAGCTATTTCTGTTCTCTAGATAATAGACCTGGCAAGAAGTTTTACTGTTCTGATAGCTGATCCAGGAAGTAGATAATGCCAGGGATCCTGTGTGCCTAATAAAATCTTTAAATTTCCAAAGAAAGGGCATTATGCTGATCTCTTAACTGAGTTCCTTTATTGATAAAACCAATAATTCTCATCTTTTAACTGAGATGAGAATAATAGCATCTTGCATCTGAGAACCAGAAGATGCAAGGTTTCGGGTTGTCGCCGCTGAATCAGTTCAGCTAACGGGAGTGCCCAAGCCCACAGCTGACTGCGCCGGCACGGCGTGGCTCTCCCTCCCTTCAGACAAGGGGAGCTGGTTGGCTCTGTAAGTAGACGTCTGCTTGCTGGAACAGGGGACCCCGGTTCGTGGGTTTCCGTCCGAGCCCGGGCCCAGCGTCCCAGATCGGGGAGGGCTTCTGGTCCTGCTTGTACCTGGCATCTTGCAGCAGGACCAAGCCACGGCAGGAACCGTGCTGCCTGTGGAACCCCTGTCCTCCCAGATGTCCTCTCGGCCGGGGTGGGAGAAGGAGGGGGTCAGGAGGCTGTTTCTCTCTTTTCCTGCCACAGGCAGTGGCTTCCCTGCGTGTAAAGTAACGTTTCTCATGAACTGGCAGGAGGCTTTCCCTGCTTTGTAGAACAGTCTACGCCAATTGAAAATGCGTCCTCAGTTCCAACCGACTGATACAGAGATGAGTTTTCGAAACATTTTTTTTTAATCAAGATTACCAAATACATTTACGTACTAGTAATCTTGACAGCTAGCTGAAAAAACGTTCAGACGGCGCCGAAGCGCGTGACAGGGGCGTGGGGACTGAACTCTGCCTGCTCGTGCTTTTCCCAGACGCATCGCCTGGGGCAAGTACATGAACTGCGGCCAGACCTGCATCGCCCCCGACTACGTGCTCTGCGAGCCGTCCCTCCAGGACCTGATCGTACGGAAGGTGAAGGAGGCCGTGAAGGTTCGTGTTTCCCACCTCTGGGTCCACTGGTCTCACTGGGATACAGAGTGAAATCAGATGTTTGCAGGGGGCATCGCCCCACCCCCTCCCGGGAACATTCCAGGAGCACGTGACTGAACTAATTTCCTGGCTAATGCAAAGTGCTCTCGTAGAACGTGGTAGCAGGGTGAGATTGGTGCTACACACACTGACACTGTCTAGTTGATTTGTTGATGGCACAACTGGTTAGGTGTAGAACGGACCTTTTAAAAAAAAAAGCTCAGTAGCTATTGTGTGGTCTGGGGAGAACATCGCAAGGCCTCTGCGGTGTGGCCAAGGCCCTCGCCGCGGCTGCGGCGATCAAGGTTATCGGTGCTCGGCTGTGCCGGCCGTTTAGAGAAGCCAGCAGTTTCGAGGAACGTGCACCTTGACGCGGCCATCAGTCTTTGAGGGCGTTTCAAATGGCCATCTCTAGCGAGGGGACCAAGGAAGGCTACACGATGGTGTCCTGAGCTGAGCCAGAAGGAACGTAGGACTGGGACTGGAAGAAAGGAAGGGATGAAGCTGTGACAGTCAGCGGTGGGAGCCCCCCGGGTGGAGAAATTATTGAAACAACCGTTGTTCACTCGCCGGGTACTGACCGAGCCCTGAAAGGAAGGCTCCAGAACACCCAGGAGTGACGTAGGTGAGCAGCAAGGTGACGTAGAAGTTGGACGTTAGTGGCGGGACCGCGATGGGGCCGGACAAGGAGAGCGTGAAAGGGGAGCTTGGCCCGACTCTGGGAAGACACTGGGGCTGCTGGGGACGTGCTCGGGTGAGTGTGGTGAGGAACTGGGTTTCCAGGAGGCGTGTGTTCTCTCGTCACCGTGGCTCTCCACTGGGGGTCACTGGGAGCCGTTTCAGAAAAGCCCCCCTCCGAAGACGGTGGTCCAGCAGGGCTGGGGTCTCCAGGTGATGCTGAGGTGCGGCCAGCGCTGAAAACCACTCCTGTGGCTCCGGCGTTGGGGCCCAAGAACACACATTGCAACACGCTGCCCGGGAGCTTCCTGCCTCCCGGGTTCGAGGCGGGTGCGGGGGGTGGACCGTGCTCAGTGCCGCTGGAGAGTAGATTGAGAGCTCCCACGGGGCTGACTGCTTGGCTTCTGAGGCTCTCTTACTCTGGTTGATTTACCAAGACTGTGTTTTGAACTTTTGAGTGGTTTCACGGTTATCTGTGACTGGTGGAAGTTCCAGTCCAGAGAAGACCTGACACGAGGAAATAGCGCAAAGCTCAGCAAACCCTTTCTGCAAAAGGGGAAAAACACAGGCGGTCAGTGTTTTAGGCTTTGCAGGTCACAGGGCCTCTGCCACCACCACCCAGCTCCTCACAGGACAGCAGCCAGAGCTGATAGGCAAGCGCGCGTGTGGCCCCGACACGGGGCGAGACCCCCCCCACTTGCTCTGTGTCCACCCCCAGGAGGGACCCATGCCAACCCCCGAAACCGTGGAAAATGGGAGACTTGTGTGTGTGCTTTAACTCCTGTCCTTGACCTGCCAGAGCGCTTAGTCTTACTACTGTTAAAGGATTTGGGGGCTGGGGGGTTGGATTCTGTGAGGATACAAAACCAGATTTGGGGCCATGGTGAATTTTATAATTATTAAATAAATTAAAATATGGGTCTTTGGTGACAACTAGATACTACTGTTTTCAACAGGAATTTTATGGAGAAAATGTAAAAGAATCCCCCGACTATGAAAGGATCATCAATCTTCGTCATTTTAAGAGGATACGAAGTTTGCTTGAAGGACAAAAGATAGCTTTTGGCGGGGAGACCGATGAGGCCACACGCTACATAGGTAACGGAGACTCATCTCGTCCTGTAGGGAGGGGCCCCTTAACAGTTTTTATGGACACTTTTTACCGACGCTGAATAAACTATTAGGTGTAGAGTGTTCAATAAGCTATTAAATACTGCTTTCTGGTATACTGCTTTGTTACAAGCGAGTTAAAGATGATTTTATATATGTATACGTTGAGTAACTCTATTTAGTTGCTTGTATTTACACACGTATTTTATCTAACTTTTTCTTCCTGGCAACCTTGAGAAGCAGAACCAGACTCTGTAGTTATTTCCAGCTTACGGCTGGGAAAACAGCCCAGAGAAGGAAATAGCTCAACCACAATCGCACAGCTAGCCGACAGCCAGTACTGTTCCAGAAAGAATGTTTTCACCTATCATGCTTGACCTCGCTATTGACTTTCTTGTTGTGTTCTTTGTTTTTTTGCCACGAGTATGTATCACTTTTGAATTTTAAACACACTTATCTAAAATAACACCTAAGATGAGGGAAGAATCACTCATGGGGACTTCCCTGGTGGCGCAGTGGTTAAGAATCCTCCTGCCAATGCAGGGGACACGGGTTCGAGCCCTGTTCCGGGAAGATCCCACATGCCACGGAGCAGCTAAGGCCATGCGCCACAACTACTGAGCCTGTGCTCTAGAGCCTGCAAGCCACAACTACTGAAGCCCGCGTGCCACAGCTACTGAGACCACCTGCCACAACTACTGAAGCCCACACACCTAGAGCCCGCACATCCAGAGCCCGTGCTCCCAACAAGAGAAGCCACCGCAGTGAGAAGCCCGCGCACCGCAAGGAAGAGTAGCCCCCACGCACCGCAACTAGAGAAAGCCCGCGTGCAGCAACAAAGACCCAACGCAGCCAAAAATAAATACATAAACAAACTTATTTTAAAAAAAGATCACACCTGAAGTTGGCGAAGAAGCTTCTCCGCAAATCTGTTTACCTGTTTCCTCTCATCATCACCAAAAACCCCAACTTTTCAAAAACAGAACTTAAGGGACTTAAACAGTACGGAGAAAAGTATGCTCTCGGCCTGTTAGTTCAGCGGCTCCGTAACACCCCCAGAGCCGTGGGGGTTCGTCTTTGTGTCCTGCCGGCCCAGCATGTTGACTGCCTGCCTCTGCGCCCATCAGTGGTGAGAGGGAAGGTCGGCCGCGATTAGCGCAGACTAGTTAGGAGCTTCCCCCGACCTGGTCCAGGGTCACCTCACCTAAGCACGTGGCTCTGCAGAGGGGGACCTCTCTGGCCCAGGGAAGCCGCGGGCAGCGGATCTGAGGCAGCGGCTTCTGTACCCCTGGGCGTGCTGGAGAGAGCCGTCCCGTGCCATGCCTCCAGGACAACCTGGTCGTAACCGTGGGTGGAGGAGAGAGCACACTTGTTCCGTCAGGTGTCTTCTCCTGTAGTCGACCCTCCAGCCCGTCCGCAGGGTCTCCCCAAGCACTGCGGCTTGGGGACTTCTTGGTGTGGACACTGGACACCCCACAAAGCTCTTCAGGATCCATGTCGTCCTCCGGTCTGTGTCTTTCCCCAGAGTGGACGGAACGCTGAGATAAGGCTTAGGGAATCTCACCATTTCATTACGTTTTCTGAACCTGACGCAGCTGTAATCAAGATCAAAGAGATCACAGGCAGGAACGCACTTCTATTAAGAAGCTGTACTGGTTTGATCCACCGAGGGGCCCTCTGTGCTCCCAGGAAGGCCTATCCACAGAAGGACGTAGCAGTGCGGTGCTGAACAGGGTTAAACATGCACAGGTTTTACTCAAGCCTGTATCTCCCCCTGGGTTTGCACAAGGATCCCTGATGCACACGCGTGGAGATGTAATATTTGCACGGTTCACCCACGTACTTGGGACCTGTCTCAGTAGACACCTGGGCGGGAGTGGGGAAGGGATGGGTGGGTGACCCAGTGAGCCAGACGTGAGGTGAGGGTTTGGCATTTCTGTCTCCTGCTTGAGCGTTTTCATTTTTCAGCCCCAACGATACTCACTGATGTGGATCCTGAAACCAAGGTGATGCAAGAGGAAATTTTTGGACCAATTCTTCCAATAGTGCCTGTGAAGAATGCAGAAGAAGCCATACAATTCATAAATGAACGCGAAAAGCCCCTGGCTTTCTACGTGTTTTCTCATAACACTAAGGTAAGCTTCCCAGCGTGCAGCTCGCTCTCAGAAGCCGCGCTCCTTCTCTGCCGCACAGCAAATGCTGATTACTTCGTGTGATGCAGAGTCCCCCAGTCCTGGGTAAGAGGCCCGGGGGTTAGGGCTGTGACCCTTCCCTTACTCCCTGGGGTCAGAGCTGAGCCTTTGGGGCGAGCATCACAAGCCTGGTGACTCACGGACGCCTGCCATGTCACTGGGAGACGTCTGAGCACCGGCATCAGAAGCGCTTCTGCTGTTGATCCGTAGGGCGTCCTGTGGTAGAGCCCCGGCTCTTACCCACGCGGCGTCCGCGGCCCGCAGGGCAGTGTCTCTGGCGCTGCTGAGGGAGGTGCTTGGGAAGCCTCGGACTTGGCTTTCTCCAGCCACGGGGCTTTGGGGTTGGAGTGGTGTTGCCGTCCCAGCCGGGCCGGCAGAGCACACGCCAGCCCAGGCCCAGCAGCCCTGCTGCCGCCCTCCACGCGGCCCGTCCGTATGCACCTCGAGGACTGGCTGCTGCTAAGGGGCAGTGGCCTCAAGGTGGGCCAGTGGGCCAGGAGCCTCTGAAGAAAGGGGAAAACTCGGAAGGGAGGGTGCAGCCAGGTGAGGTCGACGAGTTCCCACGGCAGGTGTTTTCTGCAGAGCCTCTGTCGGGGCCACGCAGGGAGTCTCGGGGCAGCTTCTAGGGCTGGCGATGCTGGCGGTGCTGGCGCAGTACCGATCTCTACAGGCCGTCCAGGAAGACCGGACGTGCGGGGCTCAGCTAGGAATGGGTTACTGACACACAGCGGTCTGACGGTTGAAATGACCACAGGCAGTGGTGGACGGAGTGGAAGCTGCGGTCTGCGGCCCAGGCACAGGGCAGCGGGTCAGGCTCGGTCCCAGGGTCAGCAGTGACCTTTTCTACAGAGGACTTGGTGGGTCAGCAGCCAGGGGAGGTGACATTTACCAGTCCAGTGTCATCGTGCCCATTCACGTCCTGGGCCAACCAGCGATTTCCTTCAAAAATAGGATGCTACCTCTGAAATCTTGAATCTGTTTTACGTTTCCTAGAAACGAAATGATACCTGTTAATCACATGCCATCCTTTAAAGCAGAGACAGAGAAATATTAACAGTTTTTAAAACCTGGACTATAGCCTGAACCATCCCTGGTAAGAAAGGCCCTGGCTGTGGTCCCGGGAGTCCAGCACTGGGGTGTGCCCGGGTGCGTGGGCCCAACTCTTCAGGTCGTCCGGGTCTCGCTTAGTGCCCCCAGCCTCGAGGAGGATGTGGGTCCCAGGCCAGGGGCGACTGACCCGGAGCCTCTGTTCCTTCTCGTCCTCAGCTCATCAAGCGAATGATCGACAGGACGTCCAGTGGGGGCGTCACGGGCAACGACGTCATCATGCACTTCATGCTCAGCTCCCTGCCCTTCGGAGGCGTGGGTGAGGCCCCCTCCCGGTCAATGCCCCTGCAAGCCGCTGCCTGGGGTCCACCTCTGTCCCGCCCCCTGCTCTCCATCCCCAGTCTGTAATGACTGTTCTTTCTTGCGTTGCTTCACTGGTTTATGGCCAAAAATCAGGTCTTAGGCCAAAAATCAGGTCTCAGTTGAACTGATAAATGCCCTCTGTCCTTTATCGAAAGAGGTAGCACGTGACGGGCTCACAGCGCCAGGAGCAGACAGCAGCCAAGGGCTTGAACGTCCCTTTGCTTTTTGGGGCTAAAGGGGCAAAACGAAACAAAACACTATAGAAAGTTACAAGGGGAAATGTAGCCTCCGAGGCAGAAGCACTGTTAACATTTTGGCTTATCGTTTAGATTTTCTTCCTTAAAATGCACGTCTCCTGACACACGTCACAGAGTCTCCCTGCAGCTTCAGCTGTCACCTAGGTGATGCCCCAGCGGCCCGGCCCCAGTAAGCTGCGCGCCGGGTGCCTTGTGCCACGTGCCAGTCCGCCCGGCTCACGTGGCCGAGCAGAGAAGTGAGCACGGTCCCAGAGCACAGGTCCGAGAGGCCTGTTGCCACACAGCCGCTTGACCCCGTTGTCCTGGCCTTGGGCACCTTCCAGGAGCCTGGGGGAGCAGTGGCTCAGCCACGTGCCACGGCGGGAACAGGCACAGGCAGCTCTTGGAGTGGACCGCTTGGAGTCCCGCTCGGGCCCTGCCCAGCCCCCTCTCCCTCTCAGGAGGTGGGGCTCTGGTGAGAGTGAGCTTGGTCCCTGGCATCAGTGACAGCCAGCACCCCGGGAGCTGCTGGTCCCTGCCCTGCTCTCGGAGAGCGTCCTGTGCCAGGGGCCCGCCGTGCGGGGGGCGCTAGGAGGACGTCCTGGAACGAGCCACGTGCGCCGGTGGAGGGGTGCGGCCGGGGCGCCGTGTGCACAGAAGGAGCGCCGTCACCCACAGCGGAGCCCGTCTCGTCTGTTCCTTTATTTCAGGGTCCAGTGGGATGGGAGCGTATCACGGAAAACACAGTTTCGATACTTTTTCGCATCAGCGTCCCTGTTTATTAAAAAGCCTGAAGCGAGAAGGCGCAAACAAACTCCGGTATCCTCCCAATAGCCAGTCGAAGGTGGACTGGGCCAAACTGTTCTTCCTGAAACGGCTCAACAGAGGGAAACTCGGGCTTCTGCTGCTTGCCCTCCTGGGCGTCGTGGTGGCGGCGCTCATGAAGGTGAGTCCCCGGGACTCGGGCGCCCGGCGCCTCCAGGTGCACCTCTTGCGTTTCGGGAGCACCTCCGGTCTTTCAAGCAGCTCTCTCCTATTAACTTCCAGAGCCTAAGACTGAGGTCAGGGAGCTTCAGGCTGCTGGGCCGCCCTGCTTTTCCGGGCATCCCTGGCTGCCTCTGTGCTCCGGCGGCAGGGACCGTGCAGCCCACAGGCCTCAGTCCTTACAGGGGGCGTGTGGCGGCCTCTGGTCTGAGAGTTTAAAGCCCCGTCGAGCGTGCTGCTGAAGTCCGAGCCGCCTCACCCTCTGATCCTCTTGCTGTTGGTGCCTCAGCGTCAGTTTGGTTCCTGGGTGTGCAGGAACCCGGCGTGCGTGGAGGTGGAGGACAGCGTGCCGGGGACGGGGCTGGTGGGGAAGCAGCTGTGCTGGGGGAAGCTGGCCTGTGGCGTTTCTCTCTGGTGACTGGCCGTTCCGGGCATGGACTTGCTAAGAGACCCTCATGACGGCCAGCGTCCAAGGACAGTCCGTATCCTCGGGGCGGAGCCAGATTCAAGCATTTAATGGAAACAGCTATGTTCATATCTGTATTTTGTTTAAATGTTGAAAGGGGGTCGGCTCACCTTACAGTGTCACAGCTTTGGTGGAACTGGACCTACTGGTCACGTCTGAGATCATTTGGGTTTCCTCGGAAATACCAGGCTGTGCTGAGGAGAAAGGCCCTGTTGATTTTTCTGGCAGTTCACAGATTGTGCCGTCCTGGGAGCCAGGAACGCCAGAACCCAGCCCTCTCTGTTGAGAGGAGGTTGGGCTGTTGCTTTCCTTTCTGTCAAGTGGGCCAGCTTGGGGTGTGTTCTCTTCCAGTCGTTTGTTTTTCTACACTTGGAGGCTTAGGCGATATCAGAAAAAGAATGTCTCCAGACGTTCTGGACCTTGGCCTAGAGAGTCAGAGTGTGAAAACTTAACTTGGCCACAGGTTTCCAAGGGTGAGGTCAGCTTGCTGGACTCTCAAGATTAGAGGTCGTGGCTTAGCTGGGTCTGGGTGAAGCATTCATTACTTCCAGAAAAGGATGGTCTCATGCACTCAGCTGTCCCAGAGGACGTGCCCGCTGACCCCCACTCATAGTCACCTCCCTTTGTTTCAGAATTTGAGAATAATCTTATAAAAAGCTCCAGGTCACTATTTATTTTGGTTTTGAGTTGTTTTGTTTTTTTTTTAAAACTTCGACTTTAGAATTCATGTAGCAGACTTAGTGAACCAAAACATCTTGTGGGGTGTAGAACTTTCTGGGTTTTTTTCTTCTGCTTCTTCCTGAGGTCGGAGGTGCACTTGGGTCTCTGCCTATCTTTTTTCCCCGAGACGTGGGTCCCCAGCCTGACAGGCATCTTCTTGGTCTGGATGGAGTTTCTTAGCCTCATGGAAAATTCGGAGGTGCAGGCTGACTGTGCCCCGTATTCCCAGGAGGGCTCCCCCAGGTGCAATGCCCCGTGCCCCACAGGCTAGGGCAGGCCAGGTGGCCTGCCCAGAGTTCCCGAAAGGGTTTGGCAGACAAGCCTTTCTCTGGTAGGGTCTAGAGAAGCAGCAGTGTATAAAAACGTTTATTTGGCTGGGAACAAGAAAATATGGCTTTGATCCCGGGCTCTGGGATCGACTTAATTATGGCTTCGGCCGAGGCCTCTTCTGAGCCCACAGAGCGAGGGCACGGGCACCCGGAGGTCCGGGCCGCTTCCAGCCGCACCTCTCTGCGCTCCTTACTGGGAGCGCATGTGTTCGTCGTCCCGATTGTTTTGGATTCAGTGTGAGATGGCGTAAAGATTGGGGGTTTCTCTCCTCTTTGCTGCTTCTCTGCTCTTCTCTCTGTGCTTTTACCCGCTTCTTATCAAATCACCTTTTAAACAACTGACTCTGAGCCTAAACTGTCCGTTTACTTGAGGAATCTACTGGCGGTAATTGCAGACATTTTTCTGAAATTGCTTTTTGCGCTTAGTAGTTATTTTGTTATGTGCTTGGATATGATTTTAGTAATTCACTTTACTAGAATTAGAATGGATTTGGAACATTTTAAAATGGGAAACTGAAAGCTGCAAAACTGTCAATCCAAAGGGACATGTCAGAACCTCAGAGTGGGGGAATTTTCTCTGTGCATTTTACACAAAGTAAAGTTCCAATAAAGCTTAACATAAGCTGTGGAAAGCATTTGGGGGTTTGTAAAAGTTGAGGAAAGTAAAAGGTTCAAATTGAACGATGTCATCGGGCCTTTGAAAATTAAATCCAACGTTTGAACTCTGCGGTTGTGGCCGTGCTTCTTTAAGCCTCAGTGGGTACTGGTGAAATTCACCACTGCTCTGGGGGAGGGCATGACCTGTCATCCTCAGCCCGGCCACACTTAAGACTCCTTAGGGATCTGTGGGCCTTGTTGACATGGTCCTTAGGACAGACGGTACGTGTCAGGGTCCCAATCCCGGGCCCATGTTCCGGGGCTGGTGGGGGCATTGCAAACCAGCGGGTAACCCAGATTCCTTTCTCCTCCCCCAGGCTGGATGCTACTGAAGAGTGATCCGTAACGCCTCGTCATCCTCTCTACTGAATTTTTCTTCTACCAAATAATTAATGAGCCAGTAATTTTTAAATCCTGCCAAAAATTGTAAGATAATATGCAAATGCACCATCGCCAAACCTAAAAGTCATTGCCACTCACCATTAATAAAACTCACCGTTTCAGCCAAAGCCCAGCACTCGCCCGCCCAATAGTGAGACACTCAGAGAACCCCCATCCCTAGAGCTCTGGGCTGGGGGAGGGGAGAGCGTGCTGGGTGAACCTGAGTTCGCAGAACCTGCTCATCGACTCTGCTGCTCATGGGACATGGGACACCCTGCCCCTACCGCGGGCATCACCCTGTGGCCTTCCAGAGCCCAGCCCCGCCCAGGCTTCCAGGTTTCAGTCCAGAGAGGTGAGGCGAGGTCTCCCAGCCCCCTTGGGGTTCGAGGCACTAGAACTGAGGTGGGGGGGGCTCCCTGTCCCTCGTCTGTTGGGACTTGAAAGGCTGACCTCTGGGAGTCGGCCCTTCTCTCTCATCCGCTCTCTGTCCTGTCTCGTGCTTGGTTTGTGATGGTCCGTGCGGCCGTCCACACATGGTTTTGTGACTCATGTCACTCACTCAGAGCATCTTGTAAATCCTAGGGCTTCCTGGAAGACAGTTGCCAATTTCATACAAGTATCAGCTATCATTCCTAGGGTGCAGGAGTTGTAGAGTTCTGCGTCTTACAAAACCCACCTGGCATTTTTTACTGCTGTCCTGAAAGTACTCATAACAATACTTATCCTCGCATAATAGGACCTTCAAGTTGCAAGTTAATGGCCCTTCAAGGACAAATCTAAGCTTCTTATTTCTGTAGCACAAGGCAAGTAAATTTCCCTTTTTTAGACGAGAGAGATGCCTTTCTGAATAGATTGGGTCCACAGAACTTAACTGGGGGAACATTTCCTGTCCTGGACGGCTCTGCAGCCCTGAGAGCCTCGGGGGCTGGTGAGAGGGCGTCTGGAGGAGGACCCTGAGCCACAGCAGCTGCCCTGCCAAAGGGGACGGAAGAAGCAGGGAGACGACACCACCCCCCGCCCCCCCCCACCCCCCGCCTGGGGCACTTCAGCCAGATGGAAAGTCTGAAGGAGAGCCCTCGGGGCAGGGGGCTGGTGGTGGTCCGGGCTGCAGGGGCCGCACCCTCCCCGCCTCCACGCTTGAGAAGACTTGGCTGCTCAGTGAGAGAGTGTAACTCACTCTAGGAACGTGTGATCTACCACTGAGTGAACTGCTCCGTTAGGCTTTCTGCAGTATGTTCCATCTACATCACAGGACAAGGTGGCGAGAATCAATCACTAGGCTAGTTTAGGGAACAGCTGCTCGGACCACTATTAGAACAATTCATAAAATGGCTCAGACAGGATTTCAGTGCGGAGTTTTCATTTGGTATATTGTGCGTTACACTTCATATACTGCAGGTTCTTCTTAGTCATCCGTTTTATACACGTCAGTGTACACATGTCAGTCCCCATCTCCCAGTTCATCCCACCACCACCACCCCCCACTTTCCCCCCTTGGTGTCCATACGTTTGTTCCCTACATCTGTGTCTCTATTTCTGCCTTGCAAACTGGTTCATCTGTACCATTTTTCTAGATTCCACATATATGCATTAATATACGACATTTTTCTCTTTCTGACTTACTTCACTCTGAATGACAGTCTCTAAGTCCATCCACGTCTCTACAAATGACCCAATCTTGTTCCTTTTTATGGCTGAGTAATATTCCATCGTATATATATGTACCATGTCTTCTTTATCCATTGATCTGTGGATGGGCGTTTAGGTTGCTTTCATGACCTGGCTATAGTAAATAGTGCTGCAATGAACATTGTGGTACGTGTCTCTTTTTGAATTATGGTTTTCTCCAGGTATATGCCCAGGAGTGGGATTGCTGGGTCGTACGGTAGTTCTATTTTTAGTTTTTTAAGGAACCTCCATACTGCTCTCCATAGTGGCTGTATCAATTTACATTCCCACCAACAGTGCAAGAGGTTCCCTTTTCTCCACACTCTCTCCAGCATTGACTGTAGATTTTTTTGATGATGGCCATTCTAACTGGTGTGAGGTGATACCTCACTGTAGTTTTGATTTGCATTTCTCTAATAATTAGTGATGTTGAGCCTCTTGTCCATCTGTATGTCTTCTTTGGAGAAATGTCTATTTAGGTCCTCTGCCCATTTTTTGATTGGGTTGTTTGTTTTTTTTAAGAATGAGTTGCATGAGCTGTTTATATATTTGGAGATTAGTCCTTTGTCCGTTGATTTGTTTGCAAATATTAAACATTCTAATTAAGCAAAATTATTGACTTGTCTACTAGTATATTCTGCTTCAGAATAAATACATTGTATTTGGTAAAATTGGCATGAATTGTAATAACGTTCTTCGTTTTCAGATATCCCCTGTTGGAGACAATTCTTTGACCACAAGTTTTCTCCAACTATAAATCCATTTTTTTGGCCTTTATCTATCAAAGGTGGTGTTGGTCAGCTTTCTTTAACTGATTTTTTTCTCATTTTAAATTCTCAGCCAAGAAGATTTTTCTCAAGTTTTACTTTGTCATTTGTGGGTTGTTTTTTAAAATAATCTATAGAGTGGATAGGTTTTTTTTTTCCCCAACTATATCCTCCTTCCCCATCTGCTGACCCAAAACAAGTATTTCTGTAAGCACGTTCACGAGACACCAATCCCATAAGGTTTTACACAAAAACTGGCCCCACTGCCGACCCTGCCTAGAAGGGGTTTGTAAAGCACACCAGCATCTTAAAAGATCCCAGGCCTACAGAACCTTTGAAGTGCCGGTGTGTGTTGTTTCCCAAACTTACTCGAGCGTGGAGTCCTTTCTCCTCAATACCTCTCAACCTTAGCACACGTGACGTGACTCTTCTGTGCTCCGTACCTGGTCGTTGTGTTTGGCTGCAGAAGCTGTCTTCATGTCACATGAGGATGCCGGCTTCTGCTTTCCTGTGGGCGGAGGGCCTGCAGCAGGATCCCTGGCATGGTGACTCTTCAGAACCAGGGTTTGCACTCTGCATCCTTCTTTCCTATTGACCTTGATCAGTAAACCCGTCTGTCTGTGGGTGTGTCTATAGCTACTGATGTTGAAGGAACAGATGACAGAGGCCAGGCTGCCCGCACTAGGTGGCGGTGTGCGGCCTGGAGCCCAGAAATGGTCACGAGTCCCGGGCCTCAAAAGCATCCTAGAACTTGGATCAGCATCAGATTCCAGCCTGAGGCCACGTGGCCCAACGATCTGGGCTTCGCTGCCCTTGTTTGTATCTTATCGTGGCCCAACGATCTGGGCTTCGCTGCCCTTGTTTGTATCTTATGGCTACTGTATGAAAGGTGTTTCTCAAGGTCTGTGATACGCGAAAATGCTGGTGCCACGAGAGGACTGAAGGAAAGGTGACCAGCCCGGCCCTGCTCGGGGCCTCACGGCGCCTGGATCTGCGGAGGGTGCGTGGGCAGGACGCAGATGGGGGATCCGCGCGGGGCCCGCTGGCCCCCTTTCCAGAGCTTCACAAAGGCTTTGTGTACAGACTTGGGCAGCAGACTCAGCCTAGAAATATGCACTTCTTAATGTAACAGTGGCATTTGCCATTTTGTTTTGACTTGAAATCTCCAACTTGAAGCCATTTACGTTATTGAATAATGGTAGCAACCCCAGGAACCTCGTCTTCCGGTCAGTTGAGGTCTTCTAAAGAGCAGTTAACCGCAATTCAGATCTGTTACGTCACACGAGGCACCGGCTAAAGGTCTATTTTTGAGGATGTGGGGTGGGCAGCCACTCTGCTTCCTTTCTTGCTAGGGCCTGGCAGTCAGGACCCTGATGACAAGCCCCACTACCAGCGTGCCCGTCGCTGCCCCCAGAGCAGCCCCTCGGCAGATGGCCAGCTGTTTGGCCGACAGTCTGCCAGGGGGAGCTGGCAGGGGTTGGGCTGCTTCTGGAGTCCCGAAGAGGTCCAGATGGGCCTCGGGCCTTGAGTACATTGTCAGGGTCACGCCAGGGTAGCTGCCCGTAGCCACTGCAGAGGCAAACAGGGGCCAGCTTAGCATGGGGGTGGGGTGGGGGGTGGCTTGGAGGTGCATGATCGACGCCTCACGTCCCTCACAGCAGGAGACGCCCGCCTTTTCTCTACGGCACGACCAGAGGAGAGAACTACGTGGGATGTGCAGGAAAGGCTGTCGCTAAGGTGAGATGAGATCAGATGCGCGTGCCTGTCTGAGCCTGTGTGATGCCTAACCTTCACCAGTGACCTCAGGACACGCATGAAACGCTTAGTCGAGCTGCCTTTGCACGTTCCCTCGTGACAAGTGAAACCCATAGAGTCTGCAGCTGGTTCCCCACTGCAAGACGACGCACAGGCACTGGGATAACCGGGGCTTTGGGCCGTGATAACCAGCGCCCGCCCCAGGGCAGCAGAGCGGCCACCTGGTGGGGTTCGGGGTGTCGGCGGGAAGCGCCCGCACGCCGCTGAGTCAAGCCAGGCTGACCTGCCCAACCCACGCCTGCAGGCCTCCCCCCCGGGCAGGAGGTAAGTGCTGACAACACGCTCTAGGGTCCAACGGCCCGTGCTCTGACCTCATCCCCTGCCTTTGCATTTGCAGGATGACGGGGAAGAGCCCTAAGCACTCAACCCACTCCCTCATCTGAACGGAACCGAGGCTCACTGCCCCCCAGGCTGGGGAGGGACGGGGCCTGTTTCCCGGGGCCTCTTAGATAGCAGACGTTAGTGTTACCCTCCTGGCGTTAGGACGGAGGACACTGTCACACTGAGGAAGAAAGGCAGCTGGGGCTCACGCGGTTCCCGCTCACCCGCGCACGCGGGGCAGTGTTACCTGAAGATACGACTGCTCTCTCAGGCCCGGGTCTGAGGCTGGGGGCTGTGCTCTCAGCGGCCTGGGGCGGCAGCCCCACACGTTTCTGCACCTGAAAGAGACGGAGTTGTCTGGTCGGCCTGCTGTCCACCCTGGCCTCAGCTGTGCCCTGCAGGCCGAGCAGGACGTGGTCATACACAGGCACACCTCGGAGGCTCCAGACCACTGCAATAAAGCGAATGTCACAACAGAGCCACTCACAGGGGTTTTCTGGTTTCCCGGTGCACATAAAAGTGATGTTTGCACGATACTGGAGTCTGTTAAGCACACAATACCGTCATGTCTAAAAAAGCCTCGTCCCCGCCGCAGTTAAAAAGTGCCTCTTTGCTGAAAAATGCTAACCATCACCTGAGCCTTCAGCAGGTCACCAGCTTTTTGCAATAATGACATCAGAGATCAGTGATCACACCTCCCCATAAAGGAGATGATAATGAGAAGGCTCGACATATGACGAGAATTAGCAAAACGTGAGAGACGTGAAGTGAGAAATGCTGCTGGGAAAATGGCGCCGATAGACGGGCTCAATGCGGGCTCCCTCCAGACCTTCAACTTGTAGAAACCACAGCATCTACAAAGCGCAGTGCAGCGAGGTCTGCCCGTGTTCGCCCTTCTGGGGGACTTTCCAGGGGTGGTGTTTCAGGGCTGTGTTAATCCGTTGTCTCAGACGTCAGGAGGCCTGGATCTACACACTGAAGGCAAACCCCCACTCTGTGGGGATTCGGTCCGCGAGCACCCCCTCCACGCTCAGCCTGCAGCCTAAGCTGTGGCTTTAATGCCTCTGAGGTTTCAGTTCTTCCGAGACGACGGTGACAGGGTGCTGTCATCGCCTCTTCCAAGGTCCCAGCACCCTCGGGGCTCCCCCATGTTCAGACGAGTTTGACTGAGCCGTTGGCTTTAGTCTGGCCTTTGGCAGTTGGGCTGCTGAGGTTTCCTTTGTGGGTCTGGGGTGGTACCCGGAAGGGGCGCCGCTGACACCGCACCGTCTCCATGACGGGAGACGTTGAGGCGCGCCCCTGGCGTTCTGTGGGGGGGGCGGCACTCACCTCCTCCGCAGCCCGCTTCCAGTCCATGCAGGCGGTGTAGGTGACGAAGGCCGCGGCGGCCAGGAAGACACAGGCCAGCAGGCCCAGCCAGAGGCCTGCGGGACACGGGGCGGTGGGAGTGTCTGATGACGCCCGGGGCGCCCCGCCTCCCCCCACTCCACGTACCCGTGATCCCCAGCCCGACCACGAAGGTCAGCACGACGCCCAGCGGGAGGCCGACGATGTAGTACGTGACGGCGTTCACGACGGCCCCGAAGGCCTGCCTGCCGGTCCCTCTCAGGACCCCACCGTAGAGACACTGCAGGGAGGCAGAGGGGGCCGGGGTTGGTGACGCTGAGGCTGACGGGGGTCTCAGCAGCGGGGGCTTCCGCAGGAATCTACGGGGCATGGCCTCGTTTAAGTCCACAGCACGGGACCAGGATGGGCCCTCGTCCCCCTTCCTTCCCAGCGGGGACCTGCGCGGGGTCACACAGAAGCCGCTGCATTTCGGACACAACTCCAGAGCCCCGGTCGACACCTAGACTGCCTCCCTGGAGAGGGAAGGTGAAGTTGGTGACGGACTACCCACCGGCTTGGGAAACTGAACTCGCTTCATACGGACTGTGTGTAGGTCTCCTGTTGCTGCTGCACCAAGTTACCACAAACGGTGGCTTAAAACAAAACACGCGGATTATTTTACGGTTCCTGAGAGTAAAAGGCCGAAATGGTCCCATTATGCTGAAGGTGGGGCTGGTTCCTTCTCGAGGCCCCGGGCAGAATCTGCTTCACTGCCTTTTGCAGCTTCTAGAGGCGCCTGCGTTTCTGCCCGCGGGCCCCAGACAGCAAAGGCATCGCTCTGATCTCTGCTTCCCCCTCTCTCACTTCTAAGGACCTCTGAAAACACTGGGCCACCTGGATAATCCAGGACAGTCTCCCCACCTCAAGACCCTCGGCTTAATCACATCTGCAAAGACCCCTTTTGCCACGTGACGCCCACAGGTCCGGGGGATCACAATGTGGGTGTCTTTGGGGCATTATCCTGCCTTCCTGCCGGCAGGTGAAGGTGTCTTGTTCTGTATGGAAGAGGCAGCCTTTCCCGCTGCTGCCCCCATGATGACGCTCTCGTGAGACCTGTCTACAGAAAGCACTACCTCTTCACTTGTCTCATCCTCCCAGCTCGATCCCAGACCTAATGAGCTAAAGAACTACAGGCTCCGCGCATGCTCTGTCAGCACTATTGATCAACAGATGTTCGGTTACTTTTGTTAAGATGAGGGATGGGGAGTATTGTGTGGTTTGCTTTCCCACATTTGAGCAAAGAGGTAAATGCGTTGGGGGTAGGAGATGTGTGCCTCTTCAACTTTAAAATATGGCACACATGTTTCTCATTAATATATATCATGACATAAAAGATGATCCTTTCTGGTTAAAAAAAGACTTCTGCCAAATTACGACTGATGTGCTCTGGACCAGTATTTCTCCATCTGGGGGGTGGTTTTGCCCTCCAGGGGACATGTGGCAATGTCTGGAGATGGTTTTGGTTGTCACAACTCGGGGTGGGGGGGTGCACTGGCATCTAGCGGGCTGAGGACAGGGTTGCTGCTAAACATCCTACGATGCCCAGGACAGCCCCCCTACAACGAAGAATTATCCGTCCTAGAATGTCAGTAGTGCCAAGGCTGAGAAGCCCTTTAGAGCACTGTGAATTACAGAGACAGTTTCAGTGGGCCCGCTAGCCTGAGGCTGTGGGCCTGTTAGGGAGAAGCAGTGGACCGGTGGACAAGTGATTTTACAGAGAGCTCCAATGAGACGAAACAGCTGGGGCAGGGGATGCTTGGTAAGTTCTCTGTCCCAAGTGGACCAGAGGCTGAGCATGCATGTAGCAGAGGCTGTAGCAGGCCCAAGCCTCCCACACATCCTGGACAGTGGAGCCTGTGCACATGCACAGAAGAGACACAGGAGGACCCAGAAGAAAGTAAAAGCTGGGGCAGACTTGAAAACAGCCTGAACTGTGCGTGGGCCCCGGCCCATACTCGGCTCCTTCAGCAGAGAACGGAAGCCCTACCAGCGGTCAGAGGTGCCTGAGCGTCCCCTCCAAACAGTAACTGGCTGAACACTGAGCTATGCAGACATAGGGGTGACCCCTAGGAAGCTAAGCTTAAAAACAAGAAAAACAAAATACAAAACTGAGCAGGGACAGCAGCTGCAGTTTGTGGAGGAGACAGGATCACAGGCAAGACTAAACAAAACAGCAGGCCTTGGGGAAAGGCTGCTCTCTGGGATGGACCTATGGTACATCACCAAGCAGGCCTCAGTACATCTAGATCCCTGGAGGTCTAGTGGTTATGACTTGGCACTCGCAATATGTTTAGAAAGACTGGATTAATACAAAAGATGTTCTTTGACCACGACAGAATTAAATTAGAGATGTCTACCGGAAAGAATTTTGGAAATACCGCCAAATATTTGGAAATTAAACAACACACTTCTCAACCCACGGGTCAAAAAATAAATCACAAGAGAAATTTTAGAATATTTTGAATTAAAAAAAATACAATATATCAAAATTTATGAGATGCAGTTAAAGCAATACTTAGAGGAAAATGTATAGCTTTAAATGCCCATATTAGAAAAGAAAGGTCTCAAATCAGTAGCTTAATATTCCACCCTAGGAAACCAGTAAAGAAAAGCAAACTATGCCTGAATAAAGCAGAAGGATGAACATAATAAGAATTAAAGTGGAATTCATTGAAACAGTCAACAGAAAACAGCAGAGAAAAATCAATGAAACCAAAATTCTAGTTCTTTGATAGGATCCACAAAACTGACGAACACTTATACTAAGGATTTGACCTTGGTAAAATAAGACCAAGAAAACAGGAAAGTGAAGACACAAATTACCAAAATTAGGAATGAAAGGAGAGACATTACTACTTTCCCTAAAGAAAAGGACTTTAAGGGAATATTATGAGCAACTTCATGCCAAAGATTTAGACAATTTAGTTGAAGTGAATAAACTCCTAGAAAGACACACATTATTAAAACAAACTCAACAAGAAATAGAAACTGAGGGACTTCCCTGGTGGCGCAGTGGTTAAGAATCCACCTGCTGATGCAGGGGACATGGGTTCGAGCCCTGGTCCGGGAAGATCCCATATGCCATGGAGCAACTAAGCCCGTGCGCCACAACTACTGAGCCTGCGCTCTAGAGCCCGCGAGCCACAACTACTGAGCCCACGTGCCACAACTACTGAAGCCCGCGCGCCTAGAGCCCGTGCTCCACAACAAGAGAAGCCACTGCAATGAGAAGCCTGCACACCGCAACGAAGAGTAGCCCCCGCTCGCCACAACTAGAGAAAGCCTGCGCACAGCAACAAAGACCCAACGCAGCCAAAAATAAATTAATAAAATAAATAAATTTTTTAAAAAAGAAATAGAAAGTGAATAGATCTATAACAAGTAAATAAATTAAATTAGTTAAAAATCTTCTGACAAAAGCCAGACAAAAGCCCAGATGGCTTCACTGGTGAATTCTATCACATGTTTAAAGAAGAAATAATGCCAATCCTTCACAAACTCAAAATGTATAGGTATGAGGAGAGAACACTTTCAAAATCATTCCAGGAGGCCAATGATATGCTGATACCAAAGCCAGATCAAGATATCACAAAGGAAAAGATAAAAATCACAGACCAATATCTCTCATGAATGTAGAAGCAAAATCTTTAACAAAATACTAGGAAGCCAAATTCAGTGATATATATTAGAAAAGATACACGCCATGATCAGGAGGGTTTTATCCCAGGAATGCAAGGTAAAACATCTGAAAATCAATTAATGTAATTACACCATAGTAATAAAGGACAAAACCATGTGATTATCTCAGTAGATACAGAAAAAGCATTCTACAAAATCCAGCACGCATTCATGAGAAAATGTTTCAAACTAGGAGAAGGGCTCTTCCTCAGCCTCAATAAGGGGCATGTATAAAAATTTTACAGATAACATATTTAATGCTGAAAGGCTGAATACTTTCCCTTTAACATCGAGAACAAGGCACAGGTGTATGCTCTTGCCACTTCCACTCAACATCGTACTGGAGGTTTAGCCAGACGGAAAGGGAGAAGTAAAACTCCTTATTCACAGATGACATGATCCTATATGGAGAAAACCTTAAGGACTCCACACACCAAAAACTACTAGAATGAGTTTAACAAGGTCACAGGATAAAAGATCAATAAACAAAGATCAATTATCTTTCTATAAACTAGCAATGAACAACCTAAAAATGAAATTAAGAGTTCCATTCATAATACCATCAAAAAGAACAAAATATTTGGGGATAAATTTAACAAAAGTAATGCAAGGTTTTGACCACTGAAGACTACAGCACATTGCTGAGGTAAATTAAAGAAAATCTAACTAGTCGGAGAGACATTCCATGTCCATTTTAACAATACTGTTAAGATGACAATTCTCCCAAAGTTGCTCTGCAGAGCCAACACAATTCCTTTCAAAATCCCAGCAGGCTTTTTAGTAGAAATTAACACGCTGGTTCTAAAATACATATGGAAATGCAAAGGATCTAGAAGAACAAAACCAATTAAAAAGAGAGAACAAGGTTGGAAGATTTATACTAACTTATTTCAAAGCTCACTATAAAGCTACAGTAATTAAGACAGTGTAGTATTGGCACAGGATGGGCATATAAATTAATGAAACAGAATTATGAATCTATAAATAAATCACTACGTTTACAACCAATTGATTTTTGACCAAAGTGCCAAGATAATTCACTGGGGAGGGAATAGCCTTTCACACACCAAGAATGGTGTTGGGACTCTTGAATATCCACACACAAAAAAATAAACTTAGACCCTTACCTCGTACCAAACACAAAAACGGGCTCAAAATGAATCATAAACATAAGTGTAGGACCTAAAACTATAAAATGTCTAGAAGAATTCATAGGAGAAAATCTTTGTGACCTTGGGTTAGGCAAAGATTTCTTATATATGACAGCAAAAGCGTGAGCCATAAAAGAAAAGAAAAGAAACTGGACTACATCAAAAGTGCAAATTTTTGCAGCTCAAAAGATTAAGAAAGTGAGGGGGCTTCCCTGGTGGCGCAGTGGTTAAGAATCCGCCTGCCAGGCTTCCCTGGTGGCGCAGTGGTTGAGAGTCCGCCTGCCGATGCAGGGGACACGGGTTCGTACCCCGGTCTGGGAAGATCCCACATGCTGTGGAGCGGCTGGGCCCAGGAGCCATGGCCGCTGAGCCTGTGCATCCGGATCCTGTGCTCCTCAATGGGAGAGGCCACAACAGTGAGTGGCCCGCGTACAGAAAAGAAAAAAAAAAAAAAAAAGAATCCGCCTGCCAATGCAGGGGACACGGGTTCGAGCCCTGGTCCGGGAAGACCCCACATGCCACGGAGCCACTAAGCCCGTGTGCCACAACTACTGAGCCCACGCGCCATAACTACTGAAGCCTGTGCACCTAGATCCCGTGCTCCACAACAAGAGAAGCCACTGCAATGAGAAGCCCACACACCACAACGAAGAGTAGCCCCCGCTCGCCGCAACTAGAGAAAGCCCGCACACAGCAATGAAGACCCAATGCAGCCAAAAATAAAAATAGGTATTTTTTAAAAATAAATAAATAAATAAATAAGAAAATTAAAGTCAAGCCACAGACTGGGCTTGCAAATCATATACCTGATAAAGGACTTATGTGTAGAACATATAAAGAATTATTGGGGGAGGGATGTGTGGGAGGGATGGACTGGGAGTTTGAGGTTGGTAGATGCAAACTATTATATATAGGATGGATAAACAACAAGGTCCTACTGTATAGCACAGGGACCTACGTTCAATATCCTGAGATAAACCATAATGGAAAAGAATACATTTTACAACGTATATATGTATAACCGAATCACTTTGCTGTACACCTGAAACTAACACAACATTGTAAATCGACTATACTCCAATAAAAATAAAAATTAAAAACAAACTAAACAAAAGCTCTTAAAACACAACAATAAGAAAACAAGCCAATTTTAAAATGGGCTCTGAACAGACACCTCACCAAGGAAGACACACTGATGGCAAATAAGCGTATGAAAAGATGCTCCACATTACGTGTCAGTTGCAAGTTACAAGTTAAAACAGCAATGAGACCCCGCTACACACCCGTTAGAACGACTAGGATCAAAACACTGACAACACCAAATTCTGGCGAGGATGCAGAGCAACAGGCATTCTCACCGATGGCTGATGGGAGTGCAAAATGGTGCAGCCACTTTGGAAGGCAGTAGGGCAATTTCTTACAGAGCTAAACATAATACTACCATGCTATCCAACCACCATGCAGCCAGGGATTTGCAGAAAGAGTTGAAAACTATGTCCACACAAAAGCCTGCACAATAATGTTCACAGCTTTATTCATAATTGGCCAAACTTGGAAGCAACCACCCTGTCCTTTAATGTGCTCCGTCCAGACAGGGAAGCATCAGTGCCAAAAAGAAACAAGCTGTCGGGCCACGAAAAGACCCAGTGGAGGCCCCTTACGTGCTCATGACTAAATGAAAGAAGCCAACCTGACAAGGCTACGTGCTGTTTACCTCCAACTATAAGACACTGGAGAAGGCAAAACTACAGAGACAATAAAAAGATCAGAGATGGTCAGCGGGTGAGGGAGGGGGACAGCGGGAGGAGGGGAGGAATGAACATGGGGAGCAGAGAGGATTTTTATGGCAGTGAAATTATGCATATGATTCCTTTTTTTTTTGGCCCTACCTGACCAGGGATTGAACCCGGGCCACCGCAACGCAAGTGCCAAATCCTAACCACTAGGCCACCAGGGAACTCCCATGATTCTTTGTTTTTAATTGAGGTACGGTTGATTTACAATGTTGTGTTAGTATCTGCTGTACAGCAAAGTGATTCGGATACAGATATATAGAGATATACACATTCTTCTCCACTGTGGTTTATCACAGGGCGTTGAATACAGTTCCCTGTGCTCTACAGTAGGGCCTGGTTGTGTATCTATTTTATATATAGCAGTTTGTATCTCGTATGATTCTATAATGGTGGGTCCATGTCATTATACCTTTGTCAAAATCCATAGAATGTACAATGCCAGCAATGAACCCTATGGAGAACGACGGACTTAATTAATTATAATGTATCAATATTCCTTCATCAACTAAACAAATGTCCTGCACTAATACCGGATGTAAATAAAAGGGGAAAGGAGAAGAGACAGGGGTTTATGGGAACTCGCTGTATTTTCTCAATTTTTCTGTAAACCCAAAACTGGTCTTAACAATAAATTCTGTTTTTAAAGTTTTAAGACAAACAATACCAAGAATTGGCAAGGGAGGGGGAGGAACTGGAATCCCCATATATTGCTGGTGGGAATGTAAAATGGTACAGCTGCTTTGGAAAACAGCTTAACGGTTTCTTAGAAAGTTAAAAATAAACTTACGCCTCAACCTAACAATTCAAGTCCTAGGGCTCTGCCAAGAGGAGCAAAAACATACGTCCACGTGATGACTTGTACGTGAGTGCTCCCAGCAGCCTTAGTCACAACAGCCAACACTGAAAACAACCTAAGTGCTCATCACCTGATGAATGGGTACACAAAGCATGGGACAGCCACACAATGGAACACCATTCGGCCACAAAAAAGAAACGAAGTCCTGAAAAATGCCACAACATGGACAAACCTCAAAGGCATTTCACTAAGTGAACGAAACCAGACACGGAAGACTGTATGATTATACTATATGACTCCATGTCTATGAAATATTCAGAAAAGGCAAGTTCACACAGACAGAAAGCAAGTCAGTGGATTGCCTAGGGCTGGCCATGGGAGCAGGGAGTTACTTCAAAACAGGCCCCATGGGCTTCCCTGGTGGCGCAGTGGTTGAGAGCCTACCTGCTAAATGCAGGGGACACGGGTTGGATCCCTGGCCTGGGAGGATCCCACATGCCACGGAGCAACTAGGCCCGTGAGCCACAACTACTGAGCCTGCGCGTCTGGAGCCTGTGCTCCGCAACAAGAGAGGCCGCGATAGTGAGAGGCCCGCGCGGGCGATGAAGAGTGGCCCCCACTTGCCACAACTAGAGAAAGCCCTCGCACTGAAACCAAGACCCAACACAGCAAAAATAAATTAATTAATTAAAAAAAAAAAACAGGCCCCAGGAATTTTGGGGGGGGTGATGAAAATATTCTAAAACTGGATTGCAGTGCTGGCTGCACAAGTATAAATTTATTTTAAAGGATTGACTTATGTACTTAAAATGCATGAATTTATAGTACGTAAATTAAAACTCAAGAAAGTTATAAAAAATATAAAATAAATATTAGGTCCATGGAACACATAAATTAAGAATGGTATAGATCGGGTCTTCCCTGGTGGCACAGTGGTTAGGAATCCGCCTGCCAATACAGGGTACACGGGTTCAAGCCCTGGTCCGGGAAGATCCCACATGCCATGGAGCAACTAAGCCTGTGCGCCACAACTACTGAGCCTGTGCTCTAGAGCCTGTATGCCACAACTACTGAGCCCGCATGCCACAACTACTGAGCCTACACGCCACAACTACTTAAGCCCGTGCACCTAGAGCCCGTGCTCCACAACAACAGAAGCCACCGCCATGAGAAGCCCACGCACCTTAACAAAGAGTAGCCCCCGCTTGCCGCAACTAGAGAAAGCCCGCACGCAGCAACGAAGACCCAATGCAGCCAAAAATAAATAAATAAATAAATTAAAAAAAAAAAAGAATGATATAGATCTAGCCGGGGGGAAAGATGATAGATGCAGATACACAAGCTCTAAGGTCCCTTGCAATTGCTAACTGCACGTCTACCTTGGGTTCCCTGGTGGGCAAACTGAACGGAGAGGTGCTGCCTTCAGAACATTTAGAAGCCAGAGCACCCCCTGACCTTACATTGCAGGAGGAATCTCTCAGCCGTGGCCTCACCTTGGAGCTAGAGAAAAAGTAATAATAGTGCCCTTAACACCAGCCCATGACAAAAGCAAAAACAGAACCCATAAGCTAGTTTCTCTTAATGTTCTGCGGTAAACGCTATGGATTTGATGCCGAAAACCAGCCCAGAGCAAGCGGTCCTGCTGAGGTCAGAAACGTGCGCCAGGTATCTGCCCGGCTAAATTCAAAGGCCAGTCCTGGAACATACAGGGAACTGGGCAGAGAGCACTGGGGCTTTTGGAGAAATCCTGCACGAATAGTTTCTCCCAAGGTTGTTTATTTTCCATAAGCGTTGATGATAATCCTCGTGCAGGTGTCTGCCCCAGTGCTCAGTGCTGCTGGCTAAGCACTCACTCCATGAAGAGACGTGGGTTTTACGCTCGGGATGCCTTCCTGAAAGATTCACGGGACCCGAGATGTGAAGTAGAAGACCCAGAATTTCAAAATTCTGCTTATCAAATGAAACTTCAGTGCTTTTTCTTTCTGCCACGCTTTTAAAAGTTCACATAGTTCAAACCTGCACTAAACGGGACCTGCCCTTTAGCGATCACAGGAGCAGGAAGTCAGGCCCGCTGTACTCTGGGCCAACCCACTCCTCCGAAGCGTCCCTTTGCTCTGGCAACTGGCGCGACTGCTCCTGGCCCCCGCTCCGGGGAACGAGGAAGGAACGGATTCGTGAGTTTGCACTGGGGCCAGGGTTCAGGATTCTGCTCATCTGCGTGCGTCTCTGGTGTGTTGGAATTGCACAGCAGAAGGGGGCTCATTATTTTGAGTGACAGAACCAACACGAGCGGACACTTCGGGCGCTTCTTCTCCGGTCAGCCCTCTCTGCAAATCGGTGAGCTAACGCTCACAGCCCTGACCGGCCTCGGGGAGGGTGCGTGAACGTGGGGGGCGGGTCAGAGGAGGACTCACACAGACTGCCTCAAACAGGTGGAAGACGACGTGAAGCGGCAGGACCTTGCTGACCAAGGCGACCACTTCCCTGCAGGAGAACGGGAGAAATAAGACACGAGCGCATCCTTGGAGTGTCCTTTGCGTCCCTTCTATTCTGCCCCTGCCCCACGCCAACGTAACTGATGCTCCTGTCTCTGAGTTTCCCTGTGTCTGGGGGACATGCGTCTTAACCCCCCGAGAAGCCCCCAAATTTTGCCCTGCCCTTTGGTTGGTGCCATCTACCGACAGGTGAGCAGTAGAGGGGGCGTCTCTGGGGACCAGCTGGGGAGCACCTGGCATCCCCAGAAGTGAGACAACTGATTACCTACTCGTCATTGGTAAAGATGTGGCCCAGTTTATTCCTCAGGAGGCTCAACAGGGTGCCCACGACCAGCGAGGTACCAACTGTAAGAGACCAAAGGCACGGCCCAGCTTCCACCTGTCCAGCCCCACCCCATGTTCATTTGGACTAAGACCCTCGTTTGTGGTCTGGCAAGGAGGGCACCACATGTGAAACGCCTTTCCTCCTGTGGTTCGCAAAGTGGGGTCCCTATACCGGCTGCAGCAGCATCGTTGGTAGCTGGTTAGAGGATGCATATTCTCAGACCATCACCTCCGACCTACGGAGTCAGAAACTCCGGCAGGTGGGGGTCTGTGTTTTCACACACACACCCCTACCCCACCCCCAGGGCTGAAGCCTGAGAGCCACTGCTCCGCACGAGGAGCTGATCTGAGCCTGGCAGCTGCAGAAAGCAGAGGCAGGATGGACACAGATGGGGCCACTCTGAGGGCTGGGATGGGCAGGTCCCAAGCTCGTGGAAATGCCGGCAGGGCAGGCTCGAAGGGGGACCGGCTTTCCCAGAGTCGCACTAAGGGATGGCAACTGACAGCCCAGAACCCCAGCGGCAGGGAAGGAGCGGAAGGAGCACAGCAGGCTTGCTGCTGGTCAGAGGGGCTGCTCTAGGCCACGTGGCAGGTATGACAGGTTTGGAAGGTGAACTGTTGGCTCCTAAGCCCTCCCCCGCCTAGGTCCCGACCCCACCCACCTGTGCAGAGGGTGCCTGAGACGGCAGATCGCTTGGCTTGCACGGTGTCTGCGGCTCCCAGGGCCGTCCCCACTCGGAAACAGACCGCGATGCTGAGCCCCATGGGAATCTGGGATCAGAGAAATAAGGTGTGGTGGTTAGAGCTCCCCTCCTGCCCCGGGGGCCGAGAGGGAGGCAGGATGTGTCCCGGGGGGCGGGGCCCGCGAGGCTGCTGGCGACAGGCCGAGACCTGGGAGGTGGGCTGGGCTACCCAGGGCCAAACCCACCGGGCCGGGCCATCAGACATCACAGGCAACCGAAATCAACGCGCTGCCGGAAACTCAGGAGTAAATGCATGTTAAAGAGGTGGATGTGGGAGCTTCCCCGGTGGTGCAGTGGTTGAGAGTCTGCCTGCCGATGCAGCGGACACGGGTTCGTACCCCGGTCTGGGAAGATCCCACATGCCGCGGAGCGGCTGGGCCCGTGAGCCATGGCCTCTGAGCCTGCGCGTCAGGAGCCTGTGCTCCGCAACGGGAGAGGCCACAACAGTGAGAGGCCCGCGTACCACAAAAATAAATAAATAAAAATTAAAAAAAAAGAAGAGGTGGATGTGGTCTTAACTATGTTAGAAAAGCTCCCTGTAAGAAGAAAAGTTTCAGCGGAAGCCATCCATAACAAGAATCACCTTATAAATTAGTTTAGTGCGTGATGATTTTTGATTAAAGCTAGGGTCACAGACTGCATGGCCCAAGAGGCTGGCAGATGCTACACGAGTGACACGGGACAACCCACGTGTCCGGGGGAGAGGAAGGAGCTGCGGGGTCCACGGTGGACGCGAGGAAATGCCCTCACGAGGGCCACTGTTCCCCAGCTCCCACCAGCTGGGGTGTGCAGGAACGTGGGCTCACTACTAAATGGCATGTCCCATTTTTCAAAAAAATGCCAATATCTAGATTGTGATGTGAAATCTCCCTATTTTAAATGGTGCTAATTAATTCAAAACAATTGCAACATCGTGAATTCAGCAGAGCAGCCGTGGGCCACGTGTGTCTGGCAGGGCCTGGGCCTGGTGGGTACAGGAGGTCCAGAGGGTGCCTCGGGAGACAGAGACAGCCTTTGAGGGGACAGCTCCCCCCTCCTCTGACACCCCCAGGCCGTCAGGGGGCCAGGCTGGGGGCAGGGCATGGCGAAGGCGCCCCCATCGAGCCTCACCATGTAGACGACAGTGGCCACCTCGTAGATGATGGCCTGGGCAGAGAGGTCGAGCACGCTGAGCCGGCCTGGGGGTGGCAGGGGACATGGTGAGTGCCCGGCCGGCCAGCCCACAGCCCTGGGCTGACAGCAAGCCCCTTGCTCGGGGGCCGAGGGGCCAGTAGTTTCCAAGGGCAGATGCAGCAAAGAAAGCTCCCGCTTGGGCTCCAGCCCTCCAGGAGACCCCTGCCCAGGTGTTACAGGGTCAGGGTCTCTCCTCTGTGTATGAGGTGTGATGAAGAAGGGAAAAACTGGACCAGAGGCAGGAAAGCAGAGTTCAGTTCTCAGCCCTGCCGGGTGACTCCGGACCACCTAACTCTTGGGGTCCATGTTCTCGTCTCCGATGGGGTCAGGGGTGGACTGGCAGGTCTCTAGGGGCCACCCCAGCCCTGGCTGTTTGGACCGAGTCCACTGATGAGCGTACAACGTGCCAGGCGATGCCCACAGCTGCTCACGCATCAGCGGGGCCTCACTCCCTCGCTGACTGACCACCACGCCCCAGGCGTCCACTCAGTACCAGGCCTACGCCGCGCAGCGCCGGGAGCTCACGGCCCGGTGGGGAGACGGGCCGGGCTGGGGGACCGCCCATCCGGGAGAGGGGGTCCTGAGCTGGGGGGCGGCCCACACGGCTCCCCGCACCCAGCTGTCCACGTACCCATGAGAAAGCTCCCGACCTCGTAGGCCCACCATTCAATGCAAGTCATGAGCATGCTGGGCACGGCCAGGCGGAAGAAGGGGCCCCAGCCCTGCAGGCACTGGCTGGACCAGCCTAGGAGCAGAGGCCCTCCAGCTGAGCCGCGGTCCACCCTGCGGCCCCGCCCCCTGCCCCGCTTCCTGCCTTCGGCCCGGGCACCTGGGCGTCTTGTGGGGGGCTAGCCAGCGGCCCCAGCGCTGGTGGGGGCTGGAGGGAGCTCGTGGGGGGAGGAGGATGCCTGGCCAGTGCCGCTGGCGCTGTCTCAGGGGCTAAGAGCTCAGAACCTGAGGCCTGGGAACGGGTTCGGTCCAGGCTCCACCACGTACCACCTCTGGCCTTTGGGGCAAATGACAAACCCTCTCTGCACCAGCTTCCTCCACGTAAATAAACGGGGCTAACGAGGTGTCGTGAAGCTTCAGCGAACAACGTGGGCACCGCCGCTGCCGACCACCCGTGCTGCTCCTCCAGTCTCCATCCCGAGACCAGGGAGCCGGCAGAGAGCTCCCTGGGCCTGTCCGCAGCAGGGCCCTGCCCCCTGGCACACTGGATGGGCAAGCCCGGGCCTCCGGGTCGGGGGGGCCGGGGAGGCCGGGGAGGGGGCCCTGAGGGACGTGCGGGCAGGCCCGGGCCAGGCCTCCTGCAATGGGCTGCAGCTGGGACCCCGCCTGCCACCTGCCCACTCAGCCCCCAGGAAGGGCGGCCCTCGCACCTGCCCACGTGTCCAGGTGCAGCTTCTTCTTCACGACGCAGAGCAGCAGGAAGACGGCCTGCGTGAACTGGGAGACCGTGTTGGCACAGGCCGAGCCCCTGGCAGAGCAGGGACGGCAGGGCTGGGGCCACGGCTGAGTCCGGGCCCGGGCGGGGAGGGCCACGGGCCTGGCTCTGCCGGCACCCCATCCCAGGATGGGCCCCATCCGGGGGAGACCCACTCTGGGCCCCTTCGGGCAGGCCGGGCAGGGGTGGGCAGCAGCTCCTCACCCCGTCTCCTTGGCAGCGGGTCCCAAGAACCCCAGGGAACAGCAGCCCCCAGTTCCCCACGACCCCCAGATGCTGGGGCCCCAGCCCCGGTGCTCACCTGACCCCCAGGCCCAGCACGGAAACCAGGATGTAGTTGGCCAGCCCGTCGACGCAGTTGCCCACGACGCCGCTGAGGACTTGGGGCCACATGATGCCCTGAAGTAGGTGAGGGTGAGACTGAGGGGGGTGGGCGGAGGCTGGGGACACGCAGCTCCTCAAGGGCCCCCGTGGGGCGATCAGGATGGGGCAAAGCGCAGAGGGGACCGCGGGCACCCCGCCCACTGGAACGGGGTGGGGGCTGGGGACACGCAGCTCCTCGAGGGCCCCCGTGTGGCGATCAGGATGGGGCAAAGCGCAGAGGGGACCGCGGGCGCCCCGCCCACTGGAACGGGGTGGGGGCCGGGGCAGCTCCTCGAGGGCCCCCTACCTGGTTTTGCAGGTATTTGGCCAGCAGGCTGTAAAGAAAATTTGCCTGTATAAAGTAAACACACACGCGAAGTGAGCAACGACTACCGAAACACCACCAGACGGACACTAACAGGCACTTCTTAGATGAGGTGGGGCAACTGCCTCACCACGGTACCTCTGGGACCCCAGAGATGGGCTGTGTGCCAACCTGCGCTCCAGCCCCCGGCCTGGGACCAGCAGGGAGGTGGCCTGAGAGCCGCAGAGCTCCTGAGCCCAAACCCACAGGTCGGGACACCCTGGGCCTGGCTCGAGCCGCCAGAGACAAGGACCTGGAGGGGGCAGGCCTTGGACTGAGGGAGCGGGGAGGGGGGGGCAGCAGCAGCCTCCGCAGAGCGGGTTGGAGACCCCACGGGGGTGGTGGGCCTTTCCCCGTCTGCCGAGGACAGAGAGGGCCTGTGCGTCAGTGTGTGTGTCAGGGGCACCGCCCTGTCCTTTCCGCCCTCTGTCAAGGCCTGGCCCGGGGCCTGCACGCCCTGTGCACCCTCCCCTCAGCCCTCCGCCTCTCTTCAGCACCGCTCAGTCAGCAAGAGCAAGGAGCTGGGTTCAGACGCTGGCTCTGCCTCTTGTGAGCTGTGCGGCCTTGGGCAAGTTACTTAACCTCTCCGTGCCTCAGTTTCCTCACACACAATAACATGCGTGTGAATCCCTAATATTTATACATACGTTCATATACAAAGTTAACATTGCAAAGTGCTTACAAAACAGTATTTGGCACATTTAAGTGCTCCAAGAGTTAGGTAAGCATCGTGTAAACATCAAGAGTCATTATGATTCTTATTTTATTGGTAGTTAAACTCTGCAGCACCATTGTACAGGAGGGACTTTGTTTATTTGATTAAAAAGTTGCTGCCACATTGATAACGTGATGTTTCCCCCTGACACAGCCCCAATGGCCCTGTTTGACAAGATACCTTCACTTGGTCTGAATAGCCAAAGGCTCGGAGGAGAAAAACCAGACTTTTCAGGTGGTTTCCATGATACAGAAGAAATGTGGAGCTGGCCAGGCCCCAAAGAGGTCATGGCACTGGCCTTCCAGACAGGAGGAGGGTGAGGCTGGGGCTCCCTGCCAGGCCTGGCATCCCCTGTGGGCACCCCGCACGCATTCACCCTGACCCGCCCCCTTCCCAGCCCCCTCCTTAAGAGCTCTATCCCCAGTGCTGGTGTGCAGAGGAGGATAGGGGGTGCCGGAGATGAGAAGATGGACTCCCCCGAAACAGCACTGCCACCTGGTACCGCGTGCACTGAACCACAGCAAATCAAACAGTGTAGCAATGGGTTGGGGGTGGACACACAGACCACTGGGTGGGTCTCGAATCTCAGAAACTGATCGGAGTGGATGGACTGCTTATTTAGTATTTAATAAATTAACAGAGAAAGGAGAGAATATTCGATGAGTCTTAGAAAAAGTCTGTTAGATTACGGTCTTAAATGTAACGACAGAAACCACTGAAAGGGTTCAGAGGAAATATAGGCAAATGCTTCTACAATTTGCAATGGGTTCATTGTTTTTAAGCCCAAAGACAGACATCATAAAGGATGGGATTTATGGGACTGTTACTATGCATTAAAAACTCTAAGTCAAAAGTATCGGGGCTTCCCTGGTGGCGCAGTGGTTGAGAGTCCACCTGCCGATGCAGGGGACACAGGTTCGTGCCCCGGTCCGGGAAGATCCCACATGCCGCGGAGCGGCTGGGCTCGTGCGCCATGGCCGCTGATCCTGCGCGTCCGGAGCCTGTGCTCCACCACGGGAGAGGCCACAAAAGAAAAAGGCCCAAAAAAAAAAAAAAAAAAAAAAAAAAAAAAAAGTATCGAAAATTAGAAGGCAAGTGAAAAACTGAAAAATGTTTGTGACATGTCAAAGGGTTAAGAAATTATTTAACAAGAGTTAAAATAATTAAAAGGTGAACCCACTAAAATAAGCAAAGGATATGGACAATTCACAGAAGGAAAACAAATGATCAACAAATACACGAAAAAATGCTCACCTTCATTAGCAATAAAATGCATGTTAAAATAACATTTCTAATTGGAAAAAAATTTTTAATAATACTCTGTGCTCATGAGAATATTGCTCTTGGGGGTAGAACTGGTACAAATTGGCATCAAAAGCCATTGACAGGGCTTCCCTGGTGACGCAGTGGTTGAGAATCTGCCTGCTAATGCAGGGGACATGGGTTCGAGCCCTGGTCTGGGAAGATCCCACGTGCCGGGGCGCAACTAGGCCCGTGAGCCACAACTACTGAGCCTGCACGTCTGGAGCCTGTGCTCCGCAACAAGAGAGGCCGCGACAGTGAGAGGCCCGCGCACCGCGATGAAGAGTGGCCCCCGCTTGCCACAACTAGAGAAAGCCCTCGCACAGAAACGAAGACCCAACACAGCCAAAAATTAAAAAATAAATTAAAAGGGGAAAAAAAAAGCCATTGACAAAGCAACTCTAATTCCAATAACGCATCTTAAGGAAATCATTCCATATGTTCACAAAGATTTTTCTATAAGAATATTTATCACAATCTAATTTATAATAGTGACTATTGCAAACAACCTAAATACCTAACATGTAGGGATTGGTGAATAAATTATGGCACTAGGGGATACTACATCGCCTTTGAAATGGATATTGTGGAAGGCTATCAAGAGACTAATGACATATTTATTTGAAAGGGAAAAAACAGGTTATAATACAACATACACACATTGGCCCCGTTTCACACTACACATGAGTCTGTACGTTTGAACACACATGCCCACGAAGAGAAATAATCCTGGAGAGAAGGATTAACCTGTGTTCTCTCTGAGTGGTAGGATTACAGGTTTGAATTTTTTCTTCCCCAGGCTTTCCAGAATTTCTCCCATAAATGGTTTTCTAATCAGAAAAACATGTCGTGCTACATTTTTAAAAAAATAATATTGTAATAACTTTTTCTTTTCTTTTTTTTTTTTTGACCTTGCTGTGCGGCATGTGGGATTGCAGTCCCCGACAAGGGATTGAACCTGTGCCCCCTGCAATGGAAGTGCGGGGTCTTAACCCCTGGACTGCCAGGGAAGTCCCCATGCTACTTTTTAAAAGTTCAATCTGCACCAACCAAAATGAGAACTTTTCTCTGGCCCCTTCGGCCGCCAGCATGAGGGCCGATGGCCTCCCCAGCTGATGGGGAGACAGGCAAAAAGCCAGAATCTTGGGGACTGTGGGCCCAACCTCCCCAAGTTCAGCAGAAGACTTACCGGGAGCGCTGGGATGTAAACATGCACGTACTCCTGGGCCAGCCTGCGGGAGAACCAGGGCTCTGAGCGGAGCAGCCTGCGCCCCCGGGTGTGAGGAGAGGCTTCAGCAGGCTTTACCCCTGAGACAAGACCCCCAAGTCAAGTGGAACCTCAGTGGTTGGGGGAGGCTGCCACCACGTGCTAGGAAGGCGCAGGAGGAGGGGCCCAAGGACCCAACCACGGGGTCTCAGGGCTGAGGGACTTGAATTTGGGGTGACGTGTGGTTTGTAAGGGAGAAAAAAGGTTCTATCACATCAAGAAATAACCAAATTCCATGCGCATAATATTAAACGAGCAAGGTGTTCCCATGAGGGGCCAAATCTAAAATTAATAACAAAGCACGTGATTCATCAGAAGTCGGGCTCAGTCCTGTTTCCACTGTTTGGAATTTGGGGTGGTGCACCCTTCACTTCTTCAAAAAGCATCTCTGAGGCTCCAACCACACGCTGGGACACAAACACAAACACCACGCAAATCCTGTCTTTTCCTCCTCAGTTAAAACTGGCCGTTGATCTGCCCCCTGCTGGCCACGGCTGGAGCAGCAGGCTGCGCGGGAGCAACTCCAAAGCAACCCCGCAACGTCCCAGAGGGGCCGCGCTCGCGACAGCTCGGGGCCCAGAGAAGCGCGGGGCCCGGGGGTGGGCTTCGCCAGGGGTCCCCCCGCCCGGGGTACCTGGACACGGCCGGGTCCTGCCTGCAGAGCAGCAGGATGTGCTGGGTGTTGAGGAAGAGCGCCCAGCAGGGAAAGCAACAGAGCAGCAGAACCAGCGCGCCGCGCTGCAGGATGACTCCCACGTGCTTCCTGTTGGGGCTGCCGAAGCTCTGAAACACAGCGCGTCAGCGCCCACGCCCCGCGCACCTGCCCGCCGCCCCGGGGGCCCTGCCAGGGCTGGGGGGCGGGCGGGCGCCGCAGGCTCCCGGCAGGGCGGGGTGGGGCAGCCCTCCATCGCACCCGGGGCGGCCACTGCGGGGGCGCGGCCTGCTCACAGAGGGACAGCAGCAGCTGTTTGCCGAGCCCCAGCCTCCGTCCGCCCGTCGCGCCTGGCTCGCCGACAGCTCCCGATGGGGGAGGCATCGCCCCCCGCCCCCCGGCACGAGAGCACCTGCCAAGTCTCCCTGGGGGTGAGCGGCAGCCAGGCCCACCGTGAGCCCGGGACCCCCGGAGCCAAGCCCCGCTGGGCTGTGGGCCCCCGAGAGCTGGAGGCCCCGTCCGTGGGCCCTCGCACTTGAGGTCAGGGGACTGTCTTTCCCTCCAGGGCTCTCTCGCCCGGCTGCCCGGGCTCTTTTCAAGGGGAGGGTCTGGTCCCTGCAGCACGTGGCCCTTGGGGGTGGGTGTTCCAGGGACAGCTGCCCCAGCCCAGGGCCTGACGAGCTCCCAGATCCAGGGGACATTACGGGGCCTCAGGTGGGCCCCCAGCCCCACCGTTTCTGCAGCAGCTGAAGGACTGGCTCTGCCCCTGCCAGGCTCTCGGAGGCCCACCTACCTGGGACATTAAGGTGTCACAGGCCGAGGACAAGCCAAATCCAATGGAAACTCCGCAGACATTGACAAACTGGAGGCACACACAGGAGAGAGCGCAGTCTGTCAGGCAGAGCCCGAGGGGGGACCCTGTGCCTGGGGGGTTGCCCAGCAGCCCGTGACCCGTCCTGGCCGGGCCCTGCCCGAGCCGTGTGGTGTGCCTTGGGCGAGGCCCTGAGGTCTGGCTGTGCCCTTAGGCTGTCTCTTCTCCCCGGAGCCCTGGGGGGAAGGTCCCTGCGGCCCTGGCCGTACTCACGGCCACCGAGAGGGTCACTGCCGCCAGCTCCACCTTGCCCAGGTGTCCGCAGAACACCGAGCTCACAACGTAGGTCATGAAGTTCAGCATCTGGAAGAGGAACTGGAGGACGGCGGCCACGGTCAAGGGCCCCTCAGTCCTACCGACCCCTCACAGCCCAGCCCCACCAGAGAGGCTCTCCAGGCCCTGCGAGGCCGAGCAAAGACCCGCAAAAGCCCCTCGAGGCCACAGGGCAAGTCACCCAGAGCGGGGGAGCGAGTATGCGGCCGAGGCTGCTGCAGCAGCCAGGCTGGGTGATGGGAGGCCCGGGTCCCGCCCCATCCCCCGCTGCGCAACTGTGTTAACCCCTGAGCCCCGGTCTCCCCGCCAAGCAGCACCCAGCACAGGGGCTGGAGAGGGTACCGCTGGCGATGCTATCGTCACCAGCTCATCAGGCCACGCACAGAGGAGCGGGGTTCAAGACACCAAAACCTTAGGAACGGCTCTGTCCAGGGGCTGGGATTAGAAAGAAGTTTTTTCTAACTTTTCGTGTTGACTGAAACTCATACAGCGAGCACATATTTATTAGTCTTTACGGTCAGGAAAAAAATGCATCTAAGCCATTTTCCCTTTGGAAATAAAACAGGCAGAGGCTGCCTTTCTCCTGCAGCAGGGGACCTCACTCGCCCTCTCGGCTTTCAGCCCAGCCTTCCCGTGGGTTCCCGAAGGACACGCCTGCCCCTTCTGACGGGGTGGGGGGGGCGGGGGGAGGAGGGGGGCTGCCCGCTGCTGAGGGGGTCAGGCCCTGCCAGGCTCTGGGCAGTAGCCCCTGGGGCCACCTGGACACGGTCATCATGGGCAGCTTCTGGGCAAGGTCGTGAGCAGCTCCTGCCCGGCCCTCGCGTCATGCCTGGGTGGCGGCCCTCCACCCACCGCCACCTCCTTACCAGGGGTCCAGAAAGGACAACGAGCGTCCTCGCCTCGGCCCCGAAGCCGACAGGGACCAGCCTGCGGAGGGCAGGGCAGCGGCTCCCTCGGCCCTGGGGGACCATGTCCCGGGGGCCGTCCATTCCGAGCCCAGGCAGCAGCCACGCCGCAGGCCAGAGCACCCGCGCAGCCAGCCTCGCCCAGCCGGCCGGGGCACCGCACAGCCTGGCTAATGAGTAAAGGCTGGGAGGAGGGGCTGTGCCACCCAAGGGACCAGCCCTGCCCCCCGGCCCACGTGCTGCCTGGCCCACTGGCCCCAGACAGGACAGAGCCCTGGGCCCCCAGAGTCACCAGGCTGACCCCTCCCAGGGGTTCAGCAGCAAAGGCCCAGGAGGAACAGGTGTGGGCAGGCCTGGGGGGCCCTGAGGACTCCCAGGCCCAGATGAAGAGAGGCAGACTCGCACTCCCGGGTGGCAGAGCCAGGTTCCGGTGGGCGGGTGAGGTGGAGGGGGCGCCCAGGGCCAGTTCTAACGAGGGGCCAACTGCTCTCTGTCCCCCCAGACGGAGGGCATTTGGTGGACCAGCCTGCAGGGCACACTCATCGTCCGGAGGGCAGGTCCTTGTCTCACAAATGGTGACAGGAAACCCACGACTTCTTCCATTTCCCTCTGCGGAAGCTCTCTGTCCCCAGGCTACCCTCGGGATCGCTGCCCGGAGCCTTCTGGGAGCAAGACAGGGCTATGGGAATTCCCGACCGTCCACCAGCGCGGGAACTGCTCCCTCTGGGTTGGGAGCTTCCCAGGCCTCCCAGGTGTTGACTTTCAAACAACCGCTTCCAGCCTTTTCCAGCGAACGCCCCACTCTTGTTGCAGTGACTGCAAGTTGAGCCAGTGCCACGTGCAGCGCCTGCGGGCTCTGCCCCCAGTTCAGTTTTCCAGGATTTCAGCCCAGGGGCGCCGGCACGGAGTCTCCGAGCAGAGCAGCCAACCAGCCCTGCGCATCACCCCGCAGCCGGGTGAGAACTGCGGGGTCAGCGAGCCCCTCTCCACGGCCCACCGCTGTCAGGGGCAGCCGTGCAGACCCCCCACTGGACACGATCAGCAGTTCAGCTCTCGGCAACAGGGCCACGGACCCTGGGACCTCGGGAACCTCTCCCTTCTCAGGTGAGAACTTGTCCCCAAGCCCCTGGCCCAGGGCACTGTGGCCTCCCATCTCCTCCCTCCTGCCAACGTTTGTGTCATTCGTGGCTCCTTAGTGGAAACAGGAGAAACTAACTTGAGATGGTGTGGAGGGAGGGGGGAGAGGGGCCAGTGTTGGCACGTGACCTGGAAGCAAGCCGAGCAGCTAGAATGAGAAAATCTGGGTTTTTAAGGGCAAGCCCACGAGATGATTAAGCTCCAAACACCTCCAGCCCCAGAGGGAGATTCTGGAAGACGGGCAGGGCCAACCTGTGACAGCAACAGAGGGGAAAGAGTGGGAAGGAGGGGGGCTGGGGACCACCTGGAGGGGGCCAGGTTGGCTCCCCCAAAGGATGGGATGCTGAACAGATAAAAAATGGTATCACCTGTATACCCAAAACTTAAGTGTCTTAAATCAGCCACCACTTACATCACGTGGGCTGCCGGGATCAGCTGGGTAGTGCTTTTACTGCACCTGTGTCTATGTGTCCGCTGTTGCCCCGAGGCTCGCCTGGGTGGAATGGTCCACCGTGGATGCCTGTGGTCAGTGGGCACTCCGCTGGGGCCCCGTCCTCCTTCACGGGACCTCTCTGGGCAGCCTGGCATCTCATGGCGTGGAGCTGGCCTGACGAGGGAACGTTCCAGGAGTGCAAGAGGAAGCCGCGTCCATGTCAACACCCAGCTGGGAAGTTTCACAGGTCACCTCTGACTGTTGGCCATCGCTAACCGCAGGGCTGGCCCACGCTCACAAGAGGAAGCAGCGTCCACCTCCTGACGGGAGGAGCTGGAGACCCTGAAGCTTCTGGGACCCGCCCCCCTCCTCTGTCCCATCTCCATCCTCTCCCCTCCTGTCCCCCTCCCCATGCCCCGACCCTGAACGAGGGCAGAGCGGTGAGGGGCTCAGGCCTGCCGAGGACCCTCACAGGGAAGAAGGACCCAAAGCTACCAGGTCCTGGGAATGGTGGGGGTGGTGAGGGGAAGGGGGTGGAGAGTCACTGCAAGCCCCCAACACACACTGGGGTCAGGGAGGCTTGCAACCAAGGAGAGGGAGTCTCCCCTGGAACTGGTTCCGGTGCCCGGCAGCCTCATTGTGCCACGAGGCACTGGAGCATGCCCCGAAGGGCTCAGTGACTCAGTAAGGAAGCATGTGTGGAACCGGAACAGAAGCCACTGGCCTGGACAAATTGGGTGGCCTAGCAACCTCGGGGGTGTGGGGCGGACCTCGGGCTCCCCTGTTGCCACAGACCCACTGCAGCAGATGCCAACACAGAGCCATCCAAGGAGGACGCCGTCTCCGGCTGCAACTCCTGCAGCACCAAGAGGTCGAGTCCCCCTGGGGGTAGGCCTGGCCTGTGGGCCCTGCCTTCAGGCAACTGACAGCCCAGGGACCTGCGAGGCACAGCTGGGGCCGGGCCCCTGCAAACCTTTCCTCACTTGGTTACACTTCACCAGGCCCAAAGGCGTTACATTTGCCCTTTGGCTGCGCTCAGCCCTGCACCCCCAGTCCAGGGGGCCAATGTTCCTCTCTGACCCCTCCTCCCTGCCCTGTGACTGCCAAACACCCAGCTCTCCACTGGGGAGTGAGGGACTCTGGCCTGGTCCCTCAGCTCCTCATACATCATCAGGGCAAAGGACAGCCGGGCAGGACCAACACCTGCAAAATGCCCAAGGCCACCCCTGAGCCCCCAACCCCCGCAGATCTGGCAACCGCTTCCCTCTCTACCTCCGCCCAACCCCTGTTTCCTCCATCCCTCACCCCTCCCTCCTCCAGCCAGACTTCACTAGGCACCTTCCCCACAGAAACGCCTGGGCTCAGGTCCTGGTGGGACGTCAAGGTGGGCAAGGGTTGGGGATGGCCAAGCCTCAACAGTGACTGGAGGTCCTCATGGGGGACCTGCCAAGTTCAAGGGCTCCCAAAGCCCAAAAGATGGGGGGGTGCATTTCCAGCTGGGGAGAAGTTTACAAAAATGAAAATGAATACTATTCAGTGCTAAAAAGAAACGGGCTATCAAGCCATGAAAAGACATGGAGGGCCTTGCTGACCCTGAAGGGACTAACCCTCCAGGGCCAGCCCATTCCCAGAGATACGAACAACTCTGCACCTTTCACAGCAAACCAGCCACCATGTCCCTCAGGGTTCTGGGCCACCATCCAGCTGCCTTAATCACCCCAGAGCAGGTACCAGACACCTCGGCAGAGCCGTAGGCCTCAGAGCCGGCCGAGGTTATTCAAACGAGCCAATCTGAAGCCTGTTTGCCCTGCCTCAGCTGTTTACTCCCCAGAAAGTACGGGAAAGGCTCTTGCCCACGTTTCCCCTCCTGACTGACCTTGGTGCTTCCCCCAGTGGCCTGTATGTCATGTCCCCACCTCTTGGGAACTGTGAGTGGTCGTCTCCTGATCTATTGGCCCTGCCATCCCTGAATAATAATAAAACCTACATTTTAAAACAGTCTAGAAAAAGGGGAGGAAAACCTTCGTTACTCAGGCACCCAAAGCCTGTGACAACCAGAAGTCTGGGCAGCCTTCCTGCCCCAGGCGTGCTGCTATGAGGCAGCCTAGGTTGTGTCCTCAGCCCTTCCATCCAAAGACACCCTCACGAGGGGAGTGCTGGGCAGGAGGTGGAAGGGGGACCGCAGTGTGTAGCACTGTGGGAGGTACGCCCTCCAAAAAAAAAGCATCGTAGGTAGGGGCAGGATCAAGATCGAGGTGATGGAACAAATTAGAAAATGTAGGCTTTGTGTATCGTACAGGAAATCAGTACAGGAAATCAGATCCATAGTGTATATGGATCAGTCGGTTCAGCTGCGCTCCCCTGGCTTTCCTTCATGACTACAAAATGGCTGCAGCAGCCCCGAGCATCTCATTCCCTTCCCCTCACCCCCACCTGTGACAATATCCATATTCAAATCTCTGTCTCAGGCCACTTTTGGGAGCAAGATAACTTTCCCAGAAGTTCCCCAACTAACTTCCTCTAGTATCACACACACCCATGCTGAAACTCATCTCCAGGGGATGGGAATACCAAATTCGGAGTTAAACCAGCAGTTCTAACCCTTGACTGAATTTTAGAATCACCTGGGGGCTTCCGTGCTGGTCCAGTGGTTAAGACTCTGTGCTTCCAGTGCAGAGGTCGCGGGTTCAATCCCTGGTCAGGGAACTAAGATCTCACATGCTGCGCGGCACAGCCAAAAAAAAAAAAATCACCTTGGAAGCTTTTTAAAAAAATATCACTACCCAAGTCCCACCACAGATGTTCCAAATTAAGGCCCAGGAAGCAATTTCTTTTCCTTTTCTCTTTAACTTCTTATCGAAGTATAACATTCATACAGAACGGTACACATAGAAGTGAACAACGCCACGAGTTTTCATAAATTGAATGCACCTGAGTAACCAGCAGCCAGCTCAAGAAACAGATTTTTACTTCACTAGCCTCCTCTAAGGCCCCTGGCGTCGTGTTCAGTCACTATTCCCACCGAGAATAATCACTGTCTTGATTTTTAGCACCAGGGAATTCCAATGCCGGGCATTCTTAGACCCACCTGGGTAACTTCCCTGAGTGCCGCTTGGGCTGAGAACCACTGAGCTGACACCTCCGCCCACCTTCCCAGCACATTGCTGCCCTAGCCCACCCCCAACTAATTCCCTTGGCAAAGATGAAGGCCTTGGGAGGTGCCAAGCTCACCATTACTTCTTAGATCAATAGATGCAAGTCCCGAGGCCACCTTTCCTAGGCCTGGCCCATGTGGCAGGGGCCTCCTGAGCCCGGCCTACTGTTGCTTCTCCCCACTTACCCTAGTTGTCCCTGAGATGACCCTTCCAGAAACTGCTGGGGCTGTCAGAGCTCAGTGACCTGCTACTACTCGCCCGCCGCCCCCCTTGACCCGGCCAACCCCCATCCCGAATCGGAGGGTTTGGAAAGCACCTGGTGGGCTGGGAGAGCCCAGCGCCCAGGAAGGCTTACGCTGGGGGAGCGCACGGTCAGGGGGCAGCTGCTTACCTGCCGGGGGAGCCCTCAGGGACGCCTCAGCCTTGACAGCCGTGGTCTGTCCGGCCCCCGCAGATGCCATCCAGGGAGCCACGGTGAGGGCTTGGGCGCCCAGCCGCAGAGAGCCCTCCCGAGCACGAACCCCGAGCTCAGGCCACTGTAGTCAGCAGGTACGGAGCAGCTAGCCTCAAACGAGGGTCTTTACTGAGTTCAAGGCAGGCCGAGCGCGCGCATCGCCTCGAGGGCCAACACGGGATCCACGCCGGAGCGCAAACGAGCCCGAGCTTTAGGCGGCTCACGTGGGAGCAACCGCCTCGATCTAAAATGAGCCTTAATTCAGACCAGCCTTGCGCGCAGCCTGCGCGGATTACCGAGGCCCCGGCGCCCCGAGGGGAAAGCCGATCAGGCGTCAGGCAAGGTAGCACGAGGCGCACGCAGCGCACCAGACCCTGCGGACCCCACCCACCGTGCCCGGCGGCGGGGGGGGGGGGGGGGGGGGGGGGGGGGGGGCGGGTCCACATGCCACGTGATCACCTCTCCGCCACAGTTTATGGGCGGCTAAGGCAAGGCTGGGCCAATCAGATTCTCTCCCAGGACTTCGGGGGTGGGCATGGAGCTGGGTCCGAGAGAAGGCGGGGCTGGAGGCGCAGCTCTGCGCAGACTTGGCCAGGACCCGGCAAGGCAGGAGGGAATCCTGCACTAAACAGGGTGCTGGGGGCCTGGAGCAGTGGAGGCATACATGTGGGAGGAGAAGAGAAGGGCAGCCCCAGTGAGGGGCAGAGATGGGAGACCCTGTGCCCCGCTGGGGAGGGGCCACCGTTTCATTCATTCATTCACTCATTTGGTTTTTTCAATGTCTTCCATGTCCGGTGCCTTTGTGTCCTGGCTGTCCCTTTTCCTACGAGATGATGCCCCATCGTTCCAGCCTCACGTTTTACTGGAGATGATGTGAGTGGAGGTCACTGGGCAACCTCCTGACCCCTGCACCTGCCACTTCTCCCCACCCCAGCCTCCTGTCTTCATAGTGACCTCGCTGAGCAAACCCCTGCCTTACTTACTGTCCTTCACGTGGTCTTGCTAGGGAGACAGACCTCCTAGCATGAAGGGTCAAGGATGCTCCCAAGACCACGGAGCAAGCCCCTCCCTGACCCATCAGATCCTAGCCAGCCTGGGAGGCAAGAGGACACCCCTCCCCCACTTTCTGTCACACCAGCACCCCTTTAATGAGGCGGTCTGTTGAAGCCAACTGTTTGCTCAGGGGAGAGTTCAGTTAAATAAACAAGGAGGCCTACATAAGCAAATCAGCACATAAGCCTGTAAATGCCTCAACGCCAGGAGGTCAAAGCCTAAGGACAACCAATCACAAACAGCCAACCAAGAGTAGTCAGATTCTTAGAATGGTTGCTAGGGGCTTGAGCATAAGGTGGAATGGGGAGTTGCTATTTGAGTCAGTGTAGAAATTCAGTTTTGCAAGATGAAAAGAGTTCTAGAGATGGGGGACAGCCATGTCTGCACAACAATAGGAACGCATTTAATACCATTAAACTACACCATGCACAAAAATAAATTCAAAATGGATTAACGACTTAAATGTAAGAACTGAAACCACAACCAAAAAACAAAGACAAAACTTCTTGAAGAAAACCTAGGCAGTAAGCTCTTTGACACCGACCTTAGTAATTTTTTTTTTTTGCATATGTCTCCTCAGGCAAGGCAAACAAAACCAAAAGCGACCTTTCTGACAAGGGTTTAATACCCAGATTATACA